CCGATGTCCCGGACATTCCATGGCTCCCGGTGTGCACCTCACTCATTGCTGGGTGATCTGTGCCAGCACTGGTGACACTGTCTATGCCATCGGCTTCTCGACCTTCTTTCCAAGCCCTAGCTTTGGCAAGGGCATGGTATCATCAACAAGAGTGGGCCAGATTTCCATCGCTGCTCCTGCTGACAATGGCTACTCAGGAGGCCCTGCCCTGGACTGCCGTGGACAACTTGTGGGCATTATCAAGGGGTCCCTCGGAGCCATTAATGTCCGGGACATCGTTGGGTGCATGGTTCACCAGCATCACATCCTCCTCAAAGCCGTCCTCGTAGCGCGCCCTGAACTTCTCTGCAGGTGGCCCCCTTTCCTGGGGCCCCACTCCACTGAAGCCGACGATATGGCCAGCAGTCACAATGATGTCAGCAGAATCACTGTACAAAAAACCTGTGAATTCACCGGCTGGCCTGCCATCATTGCTTGCACCATAGATCTTGACAAGCAGCGGGCGGAAAACTGTTGAGTACTTGTTTGTCGTGGTGCTGCATGACAAGGTTAACATCTGCCGGGTTCACGAAGCCGTCCAGCCCGACCTGCACTCTAGCCATATTATAATTCATCATGGTAGATCCAGTGTTAAGATCAAACGCGCACTACGGTGAGGTAATGCACAGTCCTGTACAGTACAGAGCGGACAACTTAATCAAACGACAAGACACCAAATATTGCCATATCAAGATATCAGGGATGTCGGAAGCTCCAGAAGTCATTAACATTCCTGAAAATAAAGTACGGCATTTTTTGCAATTCTCGAGGTTCTCGAGGTTCTTGAGGTTCCCGAGGTTCTCGAGGTTCTCGAGGTTCCCGAGGTCTTCGAGGTTCTCGAAGTTCCCGAGGTCCTCGAGGTTCCCGAGGTTCTTGTGGTTTCCGAGGTTTTCGAGGTTCCCGAGGTCCTCGAGGTTCCCGAGATTCCTTGCTCTCGAGGTTCTCAGGCTCCCGATGTTTTCGAGGCTCTTGAGGTTCCCGGTAACCTTGGAGGGTGTAAAATATAACGGGCTGGACGGTTTTATGCTCATGGTAAACTTGCTGACCGAGGTTAACTGTGCCAAATTGAAGGGATCTTGAGGTTGAAATCCACATCGTATAAAGGGTATTCGACACCCCGTATCGACCGTATTGCCGAACGCCTAACCGAGTCCGATCTCACCTGCTTTGAGCTCAGTTTGGCGACACACTGAGGAAAGATATGAAGTGGAAACATCCCTGTCTTTATCCCGCTGCTCATTCTCCCCAGCCTCCCTCGCTAATGATACTCGCACACACCACACCACATTACAATGTCGTTCCTTATCATGCTCAATACCACCCTCGCCACCTCTGCCTTCTCACGCTCTTCTCTCTCTCCCCAACAGACCTCATCAGCTCAGGCAGTTCACGTCTGGACCAATGTTCGATTCGCCGGCTTTCTTCTCACACCTGTGGCAGCCCTCATGCTCGTCGTGCACCTCCAAATTCTTACAGATTGCAGCGAGCCATTGCTGCGGTCCCTCGTATCCACCATCGTTCACCTGAACGCGAACTACTACATCCGTACCTCCAACACCCCTCCCCTCCTTTCCCTAATCTCGTCTTGTCTGAGCCGGCCGTAACCTTCTTCTCCCCCCAACCCCTCCCCACCTCCCTTCTCCTTGAAAACCCTTCCTCTTCTTAACCACCCTTCCTTCCTCCCTCTGCACTCCCCCTGCACGCGTTCAGGTACCCCAAGAACCACCAAAAGGGCAAGGACCTCCAAAAGGACCGAACAAGGAAAATCAATAAGTAGATACCTGGAAGGGCGCCTCATCTCGTGCGTGGAACGAGATGACGTCACATTGGCAACATGCGGTGGTCTGCATATGTGTGCGCTGGACCGTGCTGCGGCTCATGAATCCCTCGCGATGATCCTCCTTGACCTCCGGGTCCTAGGTGGCTTAGTTCAGGCGCGCAGGTCCGGGGCGGTTTTGGTTGGATTGCCCCGGCGCCACGAGATTGGACTCCGCTGCCCCATGTCCCGCCAGCCCCAGCCCCAGCCGCAGCCCCAGCTCCGATGCGTCGCACTCTGGGCCACTGCTGTATTCCTGAGTCGCATCGGGCTGGGCCCCTGACGGCGGCGGCAGCGGCGGGTGCGCGTCGCCATACGGTGGCACGTAGAAATGCTTCAGCCGTAGCACGGCACCAATCGGCAAATGGTCCTAGTGGGCGATGGGGGGGGGGGAGAGAGGGCGTGTGTGCAGGACGGACCGAAGGGGGGTAGGTACGATGAAGCACAGACGATTGACGAAAAGTAAAACCCATGGACGGATACTCCAAGACAAGACCAACACTGTAGGAGAAGAAGTGTAAAGAAAAGGCGAAGTAAAGCGTGAGGACTGTATTAAGGATTTGGACCTGGTTCTCACACATATGTGATCTCTCTGTAAAGGTCTCAGCAGCACCGTCCGGGCCATCCAGGCCAGGGGTTCAAGTCCCGTCCTTGACTAAATCAAAATTTGCCTACTCCTTATCCTCCCGAGCGATGTGGACGGAAGGTGGCAGAAGGCCGCCACACCTCGCCACCGCTTCTCCCTCGCCTCCTTCCTCGGCCATCCCCGCCACCCCAACCTCCTCTCCAATCCCCCTCCCTCCAGTCGCACGGCATCGCCAGCCCTGTGGACAGCTGAACTCACTCACCGAAGGGTAGTGCTGGTTGGGTAGTGCCTGATGCTCAATAAGGCCCTCGTGACGGCACTCCACCGGCCAGTACAGAGCCGCAACTTCCAACTGACATGATGCCCAGATGAAGTCCAGGGTAGAGGCCAGGGGGGGGACCTGGGGAGGTGAGGTGTGGACATGTGGGGGGGGGACAGTGAGCGGGGATTTCTAGGGGAGGGGAAGGGATTCTGGGGCAGGCGGGGTCCAGGCAGGAAGGGTGCAGGGGTCGAAGATAGGATAGGACCGGGATATCCAGGGCGGAATGGTTTTATACAGACAGACAGACAGATAGACGGAGAGGGGCATGGAGGTACGGAGGACAGGACGGGTAGAAGAAGGGAACTAGTGAATGAAAACATAGAAACCTTAGGGGGCTGGCGGGTGGTGGCCAAGATGAAGTGTGTGTGCGACCAGGAGGCGGCGGAGAGCAGGGAAAGTGCCTGCGCTGCCGTGGAGGCAGTTGCGACGCGCGAGGGTCATCAGAGCATGAGAAGAGGCGCGGAGCCTCCAATGGAACGGATAGGGTATGTTCCCCCGGGCAGAGACACGTACAGACGGGTAAGGTAGGGACTGCCAGGCTAGTGGCCAGGCGTGAAGCTAATACCTCCCACTTCTCACACAACCACACAACATTAAATGATACGACGACATATTATATATCGTATTTTGTATACACACACAAAAACACGCTGTCGTTGTCTCCAAGTACCAATTTCCGGCGCTAGCGAGCGGGAAAGGGACCCGGCCAGCAACAGCTGTATCGGCAGCAGCTGCAGTACGACAAAAACCGACAAAACACACACCCGCGGCCCGCGCCAAGGGTACCGCCCTCGCTTTCGTGTTCGCGTTCGCCGCCGCCGCCGGCGCTGCCACCCGCCGCTGCCGCCGACAGCTTGCTGCTGCCGGGGGCGCCCGGGACCCGGAAGCGCACACGGGGCCCAGCAGCAACGTCAGGCGCTGTACTACACGGTGCTCAGGAGCCATACATACACCAGCAGCATCCTATCCGAGGAGGATCCGGGTCCGCTGCCGCTTTGCACCTTTCTCGTAAAGGGCAGCTCGTGTCCCCCGCTGCTGTAGGCCTCGTGGAGCGCGTAGGGATGGGAGATGCTGGCTTTGGTGACTTCAACCTTGGGCATGTGGGGCTCCGTGGTACCGCCCTCCAAGCGACCCCTGGGTCGGCGGGATTCGGATGCGAGATTTGAGGCACGGTACTACGGATTTTGATAAGGTGTACGACACAGATACGGTGCACGGCACAGATGTTCAGTAATGTAAATCAAACAGAGACAACCAGCATGGAGACTCGCTGGACGTTTGTCTTTTGCTCTACTACCGTACAGCTCGCTACTGCGAGTTAATGGAAGCGGTGCTTTCATATACAAGACATGGTGTGGCATGGCGACTTTATGTACATTGATATGACGCGGACGGTCCTCACATTTCTGGTGCGGCTACATGCGAGACGATGGACCTGGCGCCCCCACCCGCCCATCCACGGTTCCATCCATCCATGTACCTGTGTAAGAAGTGGCACACTGTCTCGTGCCGCCCGGAGTTGAAATCGCCGCAAACCACCACGGCCGCATCCTCGGGTGCAATGCCGTACTGGCGCTGATGCGCCTCCAGCCGTTGCAGCGCAGATCGCGTCTGACTAATGCGGTCGTTGGGTCGGTACGGTGAACCCTCGAGGTGCATGTTGGCCACGTACAGCAGCTGTACGGCAGCCGCGTTCGGTACCGTTTGTGTGTCAGCGCGAGGAGGACACGGATGCGGGCGTGTTGGTGGGCGGCGCGAGTGTTGCGGCAACCAGTCGAGGGATCCATGCGTGGAAAAAATGTCTTCAGGTCCCTGATGGTTTACTGAGGTGTTACTGAGCTGATGTGTGGGACAGGGGGCCATATCTTCACCCATGGCCGCTACCCAGCGAAACCCTGCCTTCCCCGGCATTTCGGGACACCCTCATCTAGTCACCCTAGTCAACTTCTCAGTGGATCGCTCAGGTTCCGCACCCACCACCAGCATCCGTGTATGTGTGTGTATGTGTGTGCGCATAGTAACGGGATGAGAATTAAAACACTGCCCTCCCCTGCCCTGCCCAGGGGACACACCATCCGAGGGACGAAGCTCTACGACCGACCGACCAGTGTGTCGCCAAACGCCGTTTCGGTATAGGCAGCGGCCCGTACCGGCGGCATGTCCCCCCCGGCAGACCATATCCCCTATTCCGCCCTATAGTTGGTGGCGGCCCGTACCCAGCCGCGCGCACCTGCTGCTGCCCTAGGCCGTCCCAGAATGTGAAAGCGGCCAGCAGGGCCCGGGTGCGGCTCTCGTGCCACACAAGGCCCAACTTGTCCGGGCGGTAGAGGATGGCATTACAGATTAGGCTCTCACCGCCTCGACGGTCCTGCTTGGGGCGAGTGATGGCATCAGACATGAGCAGTAGCAGCAGTAGTACAGTAGCTGCCGCAGCAGTAGCTGCCGCAGCAGTAAGAGCAGTAACAGTAGCAGCAGCAGCCCAGCAGTAGCCTTACCGACCGACAAACTCAGGAGTACTTATGGCAGCAGCAGCAGTAGCAGCGTAGCAGCAGCCTAGCAATACGTAGACGCACAATCGCCGCAACTGTGACGGTAATCTTTAGGGTTTAGCACAGAAGTGCAGGTTCAGGGATTTTACGAGTAGCAGCCAGAATTGCGCCAGAGCAGTTCTTGCTGCCCGCTTTGTCAAACGCCGTCATCCGTTTTTTCTGAACGTCCTTGATCACCCATTCCGTATGGCGCGTTGTAGTTCCATAACCCTCGTTTTCTTCCGTGACCCCTCTTCTTTCACCTTTTCCTCCTCCTTTTTGTTCCAGACCCCCCCCCCACACACACAAGACCCTGTGCGTACCTGTAAGAAGCCCGCATAGTCCGTCAGCGCAGGACTAGCTAGCATCTGGTTCCATCTGCATGATGGGTACGTATACAGGTAGAGGAGGTAGATTTGTCGGGTTGTATGGGTCCGAAAGAATTGCACGTAGGATTGGGCAATCCTCCTCCTCCTTGTTTGATAAGGAAGTGGCATCGTCTTTGAGGCAGGCAGGATGGTGGGATCAGGAACGGGCCAAGCGGGTTTGTGTCGTGGCGTGGTTAGGGAAGATTCGATACGCCCTTAACAGTGAGATACCTGGCACCGAAATGTCAACACAAGTGGTGACTCACAACCAAGAAGCCCATATCAAACGAAGTGCATTCGCATCAACACAGGGACGCCGACGACCATGTCTGCAGTCCGCTGCTCATACTTGGGTTGGGAGCGACCCGTGGGTCGCTGTCAGCGGATGGAACCCAGGAGTGCTGGCTGATTAGTTCGAAATGCAACGGTAGCAGCACCGAAGCTTCCCAGTTTAGATTCAGCAACTGTCAAAAGCAACCGTAGAACGTAGCGGGTATAGAGTTTGCGCGCGCTATGTCCAGCGACATGGGGCCGGGGGGTTACCGATTGGGATGGCCTCAAGACGTTTTCCAGGGCGGCATTTCACGTGTGAACGCCCGGTGTGAGGCATTGTAAGCTGCACTGTAAAGTCGTAGGAGTTTATACGTATGTTATGTATTAAAACCCAAACGCCAGACGGTCCTGGACTCGGCTACACCCGAGCACAAAACAACGGCACCTTGTCCTCTATGGTACGGGAGGAGATCTTCACGCAACATGCAGGAATCAATAGCCTACCGAGAGGGCTCCACCTCTTGCAAGCAGATAAGATCCGAGCCGAAGCTTCTAATCTGTTCCTGCAGCGCCTCCCAACGGTGCGGCCAATGAAGCCACTCCGGGCGGACGTACGGATATCGCTTTGGCGTGCAATAATGATCGGCAAGAATATTATACACAATCAAGCTGATTTCGTCAGGTTCTGATGACAACAAGGGTGCAGGCCGGCGTATCCGCCGTGCACGCTTCTGTCGCGAGTCCTTCAGGAGCAGTTTCCGAACTGCAATCCATGAAAGAGCAGCTAAACCCGCCGAAAGGATAACTGCCGGTACCATAATGTTGCGTCTCGCTAGCAGGTAGTTGGGATCACATGCGCCGCCGCTTAGATAGGTATAAAGACCAATCCAGACATCCTTACACAAGGCAAATCGCAAATATGGTGATGTAAATGCTAAATGAGTTGCTTTGTGGTGGCGTTGTTAGTAGAGGCGCTGTACGTCACCCACGACTGTTTTCGCAGGAATGCAGATGCGAGAAACGTAATGGTTCAGTTACTTACTGGTACATTCTTTGAGCTTTACCCGCATTTCCTAGGCCTACCGAAGCAAGCGAACATCTCAGTTGCCTGAAGTTGGCGATTTGTTTCTTGGTTATAGCTGTGTAGCTTCGGACTGCATCAAACTTGACCACAATATCAGTAAACAAACTGGCAGTCAGCTTTCTTTCGGTCAAGCAAGGCGCCGATCAGAGAGAGTACTTTTTCGCAGACCAGGGCCCCAGGCTTTCTTAACGGAAGCTTGGGGCTATGGAGACCGAAGTCGAGAATGCAGGAGCTATTGTGCCGGCGGGAGAGGCGAGGACAGTGCCCCCATCCACGGACATTGTCGTTGCTGGCGGAGTTGGCAGCGGGTCCTCGACTTACATTCCGGATATTGAGGGGCTGAAGAAGGTCATTACGCATACGAGGGCTGTCGGTGTAATTCTCCCGCCGCCAGATATCCGCGCGATTATTGACAAGACAGCTCAGTTCGTCGCTAAAAACGGTGAGCTGGTTACCGGTGGAATAGAAAGCCGGGCGCAGAGCTGTTTGTCCAAGCCCTCTCTGCTGCTGGCGGGGCCCGAGCCAGTGGGGGACAGCAGCACCCGTGCGTGGCTTGGCGGGTGTCTGTGCGGCTACGTTGCCGACAAGCCCTCTCTCTATCTCGGTGGGTTACTGCTGCAGGCGTGGAGTTCGAGAAGCGTATCCTTTCAAACGAAAAAAATAATGTTAAGTTCAATTTCCTGGTGGCCACGGACCCCTACCACGCCTACTACAAACTTCGGGTGAGTGATTGAGATTGAATGGGAGGACCAGTGCGGGCAGGACCAGTGTGCATGGAGGTGCGCAGAATTCCGCGGAGCTGCATACCTGCCGGCGGGGGCTTTAACGCTTGCGCTTGGCCTGAGGCTTCAGCACATGGGCCGGAAGCCGGGTTTGTTCGCAGCAAAGCCGCACCAGCCAACCGGCCAAGCGGCTCACCAGTACGGCCTCAGAACTTCACTGGCGCCTCTCAACCTGGCAGCCGTGGCGCTGGCAGCTGCCCACTCTGCCAGTTGCAGAACAGCCGCGGCGATGACATTAGCTTCACCCTGGCTTCATGGGAGCACATACAGCACGCTGAGGCTGCTGCTCAGCATACCGACGGGCGAAAGCGGCAGTCTGGCGGTTGCAGCAGCCAGGCAAGCTATCCGGCAAGTGATTGCGGGACCGTGCACTGGCGGCACCAGTCTCAGCGGCGGAGTGGCAGTTGCGGCAATGGGAGCGCCGGCAGCAGTAGCGGCGGTGGCTGGCGGCAGTAGCAGCAAGCTATCGCAAGCTCCGTCACGGAGCGTACATGGAATGAGGAAGTCTGGGCTATGGCGAGTATGGCCGCAGTCCCATAGCCGCTGAGCAGCCAGCCTCCCACAGGGCTAGGACAACCGCATTGCGTGGGTGGCGGACGCTTGCATCGCCCACACAGGCTCTCGTGCCGCCACCCACAATCTTCTCAGGCCCATCCCGTCGCCCTATGGACCCACAGCACAGGGCGCCCCAGGAAACGGAACGTCCGGACAGGCTGGGTGGCCTCAGACACGCCATAACTAACGCCGCGTCAATCCATTATTCCAGTCCAAGCAACTCACGGAATCTTTGGCGGTGCCTCCCAGCAGCTGTTTCCTTGCTGTTGGTGTCTTCATGAACTTTTTTGAATGTTTTGGATGAGGAGACGAAAGCTAAAGCCATGGGGCCGGGCGGTTCTAATGAGCGGTTGGGCCTTATGCCGCAGTCTGGGTGGGCCCTTTAGTGTGCCGGCAGCAGGCAAAGGACCGACAGAGGCGCCTCTGGCCTTCGAGCCACAGCAGCCTGCCGTAGACAGCAGCGACCCTCTCGGTCCTGGGTTGGGACACACGCTCACAGCGGCAGCACACACGACCCCTGCATGGGGCGCTTCGCCTGCCGGTTGTGTGCTGCTACAGCGATTTTTTCGCATTTCACAATCTTGTACAACCCCTTTTCCGTGGCTGCTCTCCATGACCGCCCTCGTCTGTTGTTGCAGATCAAGGACTTCTCCGCGGAGGACGGCCAGGCGCCCAAGGACCAAGCGCCAGGCGCGCCCGTCCCCGTAGCACCCGTGGTGCCTGCAATCCCCGCAGCGCCAGTTAGCGTCGTCCCCAAAGCCACGGTCAAACCACTGGAGAAGCCTGAGGACGAGCTCTATACGGTGCGCATGGCCGTCGTAATGTACGCCTGGGCGCTGCCATAGCAGGGCGGCTACGGCTGCAGGGTTGGGGTTTTACGCGGGCTTAGGTTGGGCTAGGAGGGTTATGGCAGCGGGCGAGAGTTGATGGAGTGACAACTGACAAGCTAGTCACGCGAAAGCACAAGGTCTCATGCTACGCATCACTTGGCGTTGGAGGAGGTTGGCGTGCTTCGGAGAGTTAGGGGGGTCAACCTTTATGATAAGGGTTGGGTAAGGGACGGCGGCAGGTGGGATGGAGGTGGGGGGGAAAGGGCTTGCGCCTGTGGTGGAGTCCGACGTAAGCTACAGCTGCAGGTCAGGTGAACGCACGGGGGATAGAAAGCGATGTAACGCCAGTTCTGCAGCCGCCTAGTCTCCATGTCGGTAGAGACCTTGCTCTAGGTAGTCGTAGCTACTCGTACTCGGCGGGGATGTGGGTGAGGGGGATGAGGAGGGGGGTGAGGTGCGGAGGATGGAATCAATGGGAGTAGGGGGGTTGAGGAGAGGTGCGAATGCAAGCATGCAAACAGCTGGGCCGCGACCGACATCGCGGCATCTTGGGGGAATAATACACAGCGCAAAGATGATTTCATCATCAAGCAACGCCCTCACATGATTTTTACCCACTCGTTTCCGCCCGTGTAGAACTTGCCAGGTGTTACGCTATGTCCCGCCCCTCCCTGCCCCGTGCCGCTGTCCTCCTCCAACCCTCCTCCCTCCTGAACTGCCGAGTTGTCGTCCTTGTTGTGGCCGTAGGCCGGGTTTGGGTCTTGAAGGACTGCGGTGTTCCTCGATTTCGTAACGTCACTTCCCGTGTGTGTGTGTGTGCGCACGCGTGTGTATTCGTGTTCCTCTTTTTTTCTCACACACCCAGGCAGGCGAGTTTGTGCCCGTGTTTCCAACACGTCTTCAAAAGGTGCACACATTGTGTGTGTGTGTTGCCGTGCAACGAACACACTTGGCTTGGCAGTTGCCGTCCCCTCCCCTCCTTGCCAACAGCCCTTCCGTCTGTTTTCTCCCTACCTACCTTTCTCCCTACCCATCTCCCCACGCAGGTGCACGTGCCCGAGGGCCTTACCACCCAGGACCTGGACATCATCAAGCTCACGGCCCAGTTCGTGGCGCGAAACGGCAAGAGCTTCCTAGCGGGTCTCTCCAGCCGGGAGCATACGAACCCACAGGTAAAAAGAGGGAGGTGGGGAGAAGGAGCGGGGGTGGGGGGTATTTGCAAGGAGCAAGGAGTCAACTGCCGGCGTCCAAAGTACCCACATCGACCACCCATCGAAAGGGGGGTGGAGCTGTGGTTGTGGGGTTTTGGGGGGGCTTGCGGGACCGCAGGACTCCATGCGCGCAGGAGGGGCCCTGTAGGAGGGTCTGGTTGGGGGGTATGAGGAAAACCCCCACCTTGAGGGGGTCTGAAGTTTGCACGATCAACATAGACACGGACATGGATAACGTGCAGAAAGGGACCCGGAGTCCTGGGGTTTAGCTTCGGTTGACTTCGAAAGGATTTAGCGCTCCATCGGCGGCTACACGCTCATCCCATGAAGCTCGTGGGAAAAGATGTTCGTGGAAAGATGTTTGATTGGACGCGTGTCCGAAATTGGCGGGGAGGCGATCCTCGCAGTCGTCACTGTCCGCGACCTTTATTGGATTTCCTCTCACGCTTACGTGTGTATGCATGTATATGTATGTATACATGTATGTCTCTAAATATGTGTGTGTTTCCGTGTTCCCTTGCCCCTCCGCCTCCCTGATGTATAGTCCATGGCCCCCATCAGGCTTTGACGGAACCCCTCCCCGCACTGGTGCGGCACCTGTAACTTGTAACTTGATACCGCGGCGACGTGATACCGCGGCCCCCCTCTCATGCCCTCCCCTCCCTCGACAGTTCAACTTTCTGAAGCCCACCCACAGCCTTTTTGCGTTCTTCACCGCCTTAGCGGATGCGTACAGCCGGGTGATGATGCCGGAGAAGGGCCTCAAAGAGCGGCTGGCCAAGGACTCGTCGGACAGGTACGGCAGCAATCTAAAACATATGGGCGCGGGAAGGTTAGGTGGTGGGTTTGTGTGTGTCCGGGAGTCATGTGTGCGATTGCGCCCCCTCCCTCCTCCGCTTCTTCCCTCCGCCCTTCTGTCAGCATGTCCGAAAGAGCTGCACACGCGCAAACATTCGCCGTGTCGTGTCCTTTAATACCCCTAACGCTGCTCACAGCCCTCGGACTCCCAGCAGTCGGTGTTGCGGACGCCATTGGCACTTGGTCTTTTGCTTTTGCATCACATATGATGTCCTGTAATCACCACCACGACCAACACGACCACCACAACCACAACCATGGCAATGAAGCACATGTGGATTTCCCTGTACCCCGCCTGTCTGTCCCCCATCTGCCTTCGCACGCGTGTGAAGGGCCGCGGTGTTGGACCGGGCGCTGCGGCGGCTGGAGTGGGAGCGGCACAAGGAGAAGGAGGCGCAGGATGCGGCTGACGAAGCGGAGCGAGAACGACAGGCCGTCCAGGTGTGTGCTGCTTGCTGAGCCCTCGGTCCTCCTCCCCCGATCGCCGCCCTTTAAAATGGGCTTAAAATATTAGGATAGTACATGATTCCTTTCCTCATACCTCATTCTCTCATACTTCATGGATTTAGTATCTTGATATGTGAAACACGTAAATCTATTAAACAGCTTGTCTTGTTGAGAGGGTCTCGTGTAGCGCTTGTGTGTGCGCCAAAACGGGCGATAGTGTACCTAACGGCCCACCATTGAATGTGCTGGGTGGTGCTGGTTGCCACAGACAGTTGGGTGGTTCACCCAGGTAACCCGGCCGATGCCGCCTAGACGACCAAGGTTGCGTGAAGGTTGCTTTGCAAAGCGCGCTGGTTGTTAGTCCCCTGGTCGGTTCCCTGGACACTTGTGTTTCCTGGACAGGCCATCGACTGGCACGACTTCGTGGTGGTGGAGACCATCACTTTCGAAGACGACGAGGATCTGGAGCTGCCACCTCCGCTGACGCTTCGGGACGTGATTGCCATGAACAAAAGTCGCGAAGCGCTGGAGGCTCTCAATCTGCAGCAGCAGGAGGCGGCGACGGCCGAAGGCATCAAGGTCCGTCCGCATATGTATGTATGCATCTGTACCTGCATGATGCGTATGTGGCATCTGTTATGCTTATGCCCTGAATAGCTTGGGGTGGGGCTAAAGTAAGCATTAGGATCGAGTAGTGGCCAACCAATAGTGGCCGCATGATGATGATAATGATAATAACGACCTGCATTTCAGGAAGCGGATATGGAGATGGACGAGGAGGAGAGGGCGATGGTGGCGGAAGCAGCCGCGCAGGAAGCGCGTGCTGCCGCTGCGGCCGCCGCCAACGGCGGTGTTCCGCCGCCGCCGGAAGGCGCCGACGGTGGCGCCGCACCAGCCGCGGCCGCTGCCAACGCCGCTCCGGAACCGGCCTCTGAGGACGCCGATGCCGCGATGGACATGGAGGAAGAGGAGGAGGAGGAGGAAGCGCCTATCAAGGTTGTTAAGAACTACACTCGCCAGGCGGTGCGGACGCATGCCGGCAGGTCCTACGACCCCACCAAGTTTGTCGTGTCGCCCATCACAGGTGCGTGGGGCTCCATCACCTGGGGGGGCGTCCCGGAGGGCAGAAGCAGGCCATTTCAGCAGCAGCTCCTTCAGAGCAGAGTAGCTCAGAAAAGATGTGCAGCCTTGGGATTGAATCGGGTTGGCTAAACCGTCGCTTAAGAGATTGTGAAGTGATGTGCAACGCGGTCGCACACCCTCTCTGTGCCCACTCCTCGGCTATTTTCTCCCCTTTCTACCTTTCCCTTTCCCCAACCAGGCCCCGGATGATTCCCCCTTCAACTGCTATCCGCTCCGTCCACTCCGCATTAAACCCGACTTCACAACGCCGTTCGATTTACCCACCATCTGCAAAACCCACTCCCATCCTGGATTTCCAGGGTGGGAGTGGGCCATGCCTCTGCTGCTCAATCGCACTAACCCCTAGCTTACCCTCCGGAAGACATTGACTCTCTCCGACCTCGAGCAGTCAGGTGGTGCTTGGGCCATCCACAATTGTGGTGTGGATGGCTTCCTTGTGGTGGCCTTTTCTCCCAGTGTATCAGTCCGCCCGCCGCACGCCTCTGCACCCCCCTTCACACGCGTTCCTCAGGCGAGCTCATTCCCATTGAGGAGATGGCCGAGCACATGCGCATCAGTCTCATTGACCCCCGCTGGAGGGAGCAGCGAGACGTCATGCTCTCGAAGATCAGGGAAACCACCAAGGTGAGGTGAAAGGGAGGATGAAGGGAGGTTCTGGGGCACTTGGGGCGGGGGAGGTAAGAAGCAGGGCCATGGGGCACGGCGAGGCGAAGTGAGGCTGACTGGGGACGGGCCATTTTGAGTGCCCCGGGGGGGGCCACGGCGGGGTTGGCCAGCGGGGGAAGACGCCTGCTGCTCTTTTCTCCATCCGCATGCATGAGCACCGCACCACGTGCGTGGTATGCTCTTATCTCCTCGCCGTATTGCCTACAGAAGGCGTTTTCATACACATGTTCTTCTTTGTGCGTCGTACCGCTCGGTGCAGGCAACGGATGACGAGATCACTCGCAACCTCGTGGGGCTCGCGGTGTCGCGACCCGATATCTTTGGATCCACAGAGGAAGAACTACAGCAGGTACGGCAGGGCAGGTTTAGGACATGGAAAGTTTGCGTTCGCCTAATACATCGATGCCAAACGCGATTTTTTGCGACCGCGATTTCTGATCTTACTGTAATGAAGCAGCGGTGGTAGTTAGCTGTGTGAAAACACAGAGGCGCCTACAGCTGAATTAAGGGATATGGGCACAGCGGCAAGCCGTGGTACGGCGTGAGCGTAAGAGGGGCGCGCGCTCTGCCTTGGTTTGTCCTAATTCCGAGCCACCTGAGCACCACGGGTTCTTTTCTGACCACTGCGCTTTTGCCCTTCCCTCTGGACAGTTGAATGCCACTTTCTGCGATCCCATGTTTTACTGGACCTTTCTGTTCCAGTGATCTTCAATTTGCGTTCTTCAAGCGTTGTTTCATGGATTTCGGAGATGTGTTGCATGTGGTCGTGAGTTTCACCTCTACCCCGTCTACCTTGCTCGAATATTTGTTCCATTTTGTTTTTCTTCGCACAGGCGGTGCGCGAGGAGATCAAAGACAAGATGATGTCTGGAGTGGGACGGCCTGTGGCCTGGGACGGAGCCACGCAAGGCGGCGAGGCGCTACAAAACCAGATTCGCGCCATCGCAGATAGCAGGGCGGAGACGGCGGAGCGCAACGCCGGTGCCGGCGCCGGCGCAGCGGGTTCAGGAACCGGGCCCTCTATCCCGCAAGCCGTAACGCTAGGCCCCGCCGCACGGCCCGGTGGCGGCGGCGGGCTGGGAGCGCTTCCGCCGCCGCCGCCGCAGGGGGCCATGGGCATGCAAGGTGGCATGATGCGGCCTCCGATGATGGGAGGGCCCATGGGCATGGGCATGGGCATGGGAGGCGCCATGGGGGGTCCTATGGGCATGATGCGGCCACCGATGGGCATGATGGGAGGGCCCATGGGCATGGGCATGGGGGGCCCGATGGGCATGCGCCCACCGGGCATGGGAATGGGCATGGGGATGGGCATGGGGATGGGAATGGGCGGACCGATGGGGATGGGCGGCCCCATGGGAATGGGCGGGCCGATGGGGATGGGGATGGGCATGCAGAGGCCGCAGGGTATGGCTGGCGGAGCCGCCGGAACTGGCGCCGGCGGACCGCCACCGCCGCCGCCGCCTTCTTCAGCGACACCGGCTGCGCCGCCTCTGCCGCGCGAGGCGCCGCCATTGCCGGCTGAGGATCAGCCCGATGCGAAACGCGCCCGCGTCGCTGGTGATTTCGTTCTTCAGCCGGAGGAGGAGTTCCTGGCTCGTTTCCCTGGGCCCAGCCGCGTCAAGGTGCTGTGTCCAGAGGTCGAGGGCAACGAGAAGCTCATCGGGCAGCTGCTGGAAGTGGAGGTAGCGTCGCTGTCAGATTCCGTGGCGGAGTTCAAGGGGCGGCTGGCGGCCGTGCTGGACCTGCCCGCCAACAAACAGAAGCTCGCGCGCGACGGCGTGGGCTTCATGCGCGACGAGTTGTCGCTCGCACATTACAATGTGTCGCCGGATGTGGTCCTGAACCTGGGTCTCAAGGAACGTGGTGGCGCGCGCAAGAAGTAGTGATGTCCGTGCTGCTTTGCTCGTTAAGTTCCGTTTTGTTCTTTTTCTTTCGTTTGGTTATTGGTGTTGTGCCCGGGGCTTTTTGCGGGACCTACGGCGTGTCATATGGCGTGTTATGATGGAGTACGTTAGTTTGTTGAACAGGCTGGTGTCGCGTGGTGTGGAACCTGGGTTGTTCCACCACATGGCGCGGTCGAGGCGGTGGTGGCGGCACGGTTGCTGTCCGTGCGCGGGGAGTGGGTATGTATGGATGCGGAGTGAGTTAAAAAGGACAATCCAAGAAGAAACTGAACTCCGCCTCCCGGATGACGACTACGGACACACGGACGCGGCCGGGCGAGGAGTGAGGAAGGCAGCGGGCTGGCTGCTCACGAATGATAGATATAGTGACGGCTGCACGCGGCGCGTCGTGGCGTGGCGTGGCTTGGCGCGGCAGGGGCAAAGGCAAGCGATAAATAGCGCAGAGGATTCCAGCTGTGGCTAATCGTAACCCACTCTGATTCTGGTGTTGTCAAGAGTCGGACCTCCTGCTGTTTTGGATATCCACCGGGTCCAAAGTTGTGGTTCTTGGACGAAGGACGAAGAGAGTGGGTAACGGGTAAAAGAGGCGGTTCAAGAGAACTCCAGGATGGCGCCCTCCTGTTAAGTTCTGGTAAGTAAACGGTCGTCTACACACACGTGTCAAAGAGGCTGACGATACAGAGGGCGCGGTGTGCCCTGCGTAATTGGAACTGATGTATACAGAAAACAGACCGTATGTGTGTGCATGTGTGTGTGTGTGTGTGTAACGTGGGCGTCCTAATGAAGCCTTTTCATGGGAGCCGTTGCAGTGCTTGGTTGTACGGTGGTACGTCTGTGCCGGTTAAAGTACAGCTGGTCGGACATGATTGTTTCCCACGCCAGCAGGATGGTGCGCGACGTACAGCGCGTGTGACCTGCCGGTGTGGTGTATCACACGTCCCGCGGGTACGTTCCAGATGGACCCCATCCAGACGTTCTTTGTTGCGCCTTTGCTCCATGACGGTAGGAGGGAGGAAAGAGGAGGACTTCTCTGCCCATCAAAGCTTCTGTTGGTGATGGCCGCGATTGCGATCGCGATCGTGATCGTGACCTCATCATTGTTGAGGGAAGGAGGAGGAGCTGGTCTAATGGAGAAGGACGGTGGAGAGAAGAGGACCTCTCGCACAGCGCTCGGATCACCCAAGCTGAAGGTTTGGGCTTTCAAGGTTTCCGTTCCGCCCATCATAAACCCATCCCGCAAAATAAAATAAAACCACGGAGTTATGAGTTATGATGCGGCGATAGCGGCGGTTCCCAGGGCTCTTCCGGGTCCATGGTCCGAGCCCTGGTTTGGATGCGCGTTTAGGAGAGGGGCCTAATCCGATCTGGATGCCGCACGATCGCTGGCCGGGGAAGCCAGTCTTGGCGAGAGAACCATGCATGGGCCACAGGCGGGCGGGCATCATGAAGACTGCTGATAAGTAGGATCCAGGCGTTCGCCTGCCTTAAAGCGTTCGCCTCGAAGCATTGGCGGTTTCGTTTGTTTTTCGTTATCAGTTCTCAAGGCGTTGTGCCCATGATGTTTCCCCTTAACGAAGCACCGTCGGCAGCCCCCTGGGTGCTCCCCACTGGACACACACACTGCGGGACCCGAATCATACCCTCGCAAAATAAGCAAATACTTGCGTATGCACAGAGGATCGGGACTTCAACCTCAACTTAGACTTACAATGTTCATAATTTGGTCCGCTTAAATAGTCATGCTAGCGCGCCACAACCTCACACGTCGTACACACAAGCTCAAGCTCCACTAGCTCCGAAGTTCCGACACGGTCTCACACGCGCTCGTTAACTAACTTCAAAACATTACACTGCAAGTCAAAATTGCGCAGCGCTGCTTGATCAGCTACCTTAACGCGCGGCACGACAAGACGCGTTGGTTATGCCAGCACTGACCCGCCTCAAGCAATACGGCAAGATAAGGATCTTCCCCGTGGCAGGGTTGGAAGTTGCTGTTGGCATGCGGAGAGCTGTGAGGTCACATCTCACATGGAAACGCGTGTAGCACAACTCTTGGCTGCCTATGCCAGTCCTGAAGGACACTTTCAGAACTGTTGAGATCATAAGCTACTCGGCTACAACACATCTGTAAAGTTAACTGCCAGCGACAACTCTAAAAACTGCGGCCTTTTGCGGCCACATGCCGTGCGATTGCCAACTGCTTGGGTGTAAAGGTTGGAATTCCGGTAGTTGATGCACAATTTCTCACTGTTTCTAAGCATTATTCATGAGAATGTGGCTTAGTAATCTAATTAAGTCATCTTGGCTCGATACTGTAGTCTACATCCACATGGTTCAGGCTGCCGAAGGCCTGGCCATACGATGACCGGAAGTCAGTCGCGCTACATACATGAGCTATGCTTCTTTAGTTTGGCATTCTAAGCGAAGCTGATACAATTTCATTTCATCATGTTTAAATGCCACTACGCCCCATTTCTCCTTTACACATCCCGGGGAAGACGAGTTACAATGTATTAAATCTTCAATCATATATACTTGATTCTTGGCATGCAGGATGGAAAGCGAGTTGTAGGGTGTGTTGTCGTGCATCGCACGACATCGCATGTAGTAGTAGTAGGAACATGTCCTCACCCGCCAACACATAAGGAGCCAACGCTAACCAAGTCTGGCCAATCAGTTCATTTCATAGTATCGTTGTGTGAAAATATAATTTCTGTAAAATGGCCCTTGCACAGAAATCCTTCCTTAACGCGCCGGCTAAGACGCAGGGGCTCCTCGTCGCCCCGGCCGTGCGTGCGCAGCCCATTGCTCGCCGTGTCCGCAGTGCTCGCGCTCAATCCAGCAATGCTCTGACGGTTGCACAGAGCAAGGCTATCGCTCAAACCAACGGCTCGCCGGTGGCCATGCCTGCTCCGGTTGAGGAGGTCGACCTCGCCAAGCACATGCAGGACCGCCATGCCCATATTTTGCGGTATGAATTAAAAAAAATCTCACCTCTCAAGCGTTTGCATTACATCTGGGTTATTGGCAAATATGGGTCTTCATAACTTGCAGATACTTCCCGACCGCGCTTGGCGTGGACGACTTTATGGCGCGCGTTGAGGTGCGCACAGGTGTTATATTGCCCATCTAATTAATCAGGTGTCCTTACCGTTGTCCGTTATCATGTAACAGATTGTGCTTGCTGGCTTCGGCTTCACCGGTGACAACACGATTGGTGAGTGGTAGGGTCTGTCACGTATATAGGATACGTCGGATATACTCTATTTTGTATACATACTCTGCATGGAAAATTGATCATTCACGTGCGTGTCTAAGCGCTGATTCCGCTGTCCTGATTCCGCAATGGTATTTAGCTGAGATGTGATCTTTGCCCTTCTGTCGTCCGTCCCTCGAACGTCCTTTCCTGCAGCCATGACCAATCTGTGCCGTGATGAAGTCACCCAGGTGGTGAAGGACAAGATCGAGTCTGCTTTCGGTTCTTCCTTTAACACCAATGGTCTGGGTGCCGTACTGACCTGCGGTGTGACGGGCATGAAGGCCGGTCTCAGCCACTCGCCTGTTTGCGCGGTGCGTGGGTCGAGGAGGCGTATGGATGCATCACGATGGCCGGCATGGATGCCCAAAAAGGAAAATGGGGGGGAGAAACGGCGCCATGCCTCATAGAAAACGACGTCGCCGGGGAATGTGGGTGACCCATGTTCATAGATGTCGGGCTTGGTGGCGTGTTCGACATTGCTATACTAATCATACGTTACACTGGTTGTCCTGGTCACGCCACATGCATCTCTATAAATCTAGAAGGACGGAGCAGTTTGTATGGGAGCCTTCCCTACTTTACATTGAAGGGGATTCCTGGGCCGTATGCGTGTTTCTCTCAAGAGTATTGTGGAGAGTCGCTATCCGTGAATGGCTTTGGCCGCTGTGTGTTATTTCTGTTCCTTGTCCTTATCTATCAGGTGCTCTTGTGCTTCACGCCCCTTCAAACCTTCGTTCGCATTCATAGCTACGCGTTTAACCAATACTGCCATGTGTTCACATCCTTTCTGTGGTATCCGACCTGTGATGTGTCTCCGCAGGGCGGCAGGGAACGTTACGTGTTCTTCGCCTTCCCGCACATCGCCATCAACAGCGAGGGCGAGATGGGCGCCATCAGCCGACCTGGCAGGCCAAAGAAGTCTTGCGCGTGCGGCGCCCTGCAGAAGGTACGTCGGTGCTGCAACGCAGCTTTGCGAATGGCGCACCGTCCTCGCCTTATGCTAGTGCTCCTCCTACTGTTGTGCCTGCTACTGCTGCTGCTCCTGCTATCATTATACATTATCGCGTATCGCGTATAGACAAGCTTGCATGTTTGCATGTCTGTCATCTTCTTCTAAAAGTGGCAGTTGACGGTGTATTATTTGATGTGTAATAGCGGGCTGAGGGGTTGGGTAAGGTCGAAAAAGGGAGGTGATGTAATACGGACACGTATGTGGTAACGGCTGGTCCGGGACCCTCTGGGTAAGTATTAAAACTTACCAGCTTTCTTACCAACCAACTCACTAAACGTTTGTTTTGTGTATCCACCTCTCCCGACCCCCCTCTCCATTCCTCGAAACGAACAGTGCCTCGTCGAGTTGAAGACCGAGGGCGTCGAGGCGGCTGTGCGCTCTCCGGGCTTGCACGACCCCCTGGAGCCGGAGCTCTCCATCCTGAAGCAGCGCCTGGCTCGCCGCATCCGCTACGAGAAGCTCGACGTCGCCATGCTGGATCTGCCGTCGCTGACGCAGGTAGGGAGGCAGTTAGCGGATCGGCGCGTGATAGATCGATCAGTGCTATCACTGAATGTAATAGGCGCTGAATGGCGTAGTGTACGGCATTTGAATCGGTGGTTTAATGTTAAAAATTTGGTAGTAGGCTGGTCGAGGAATGTCTAGGAAGCGGTTTTTTTAATGGGAGGGAGGGACGGCTTAGGGCGTTCTTGTTCGTTGTCCGTTGTGTAAGTTGCAACGAGCCAGTTACAACCAACGGATTGTCTCTTGGCTTTGGCTGCTCAGAGAAGCCCGACCACCTCCGCCTCTGCATGCGTCCCCTCCTATTTATCTCCCCTTGATGGTTCGCTCGGTTTGCTCTTTACGATGACAATTATGCTGACGTTTTTTTCTGTGTTTTCTGCCATGTATCCATTGCGATCTTGAATTGTGAAGGTTGCGGAGCGCACTATCAGTGACGATCTGGAGTACCTGATTGAGAAGGCGGTCAACCCGGCCATGGCCGACTACGCCGTCATCACGGGTGTCGAGATCCACAACTGGGCCGCCAACCTGGAGGAGGGCGGCGAGCCCTCCATGGAGTTCATCGCTCCCACCAAGGCGTACGTGGTGGTCAACGGCGTCAAGACGCACCTGGACCTCATGATGGTGCCGGTGAGCTGAGCTGCTGCTGCATGTACTTGCACCTGAACCTGAACCTTTGCTATCCGAACCTTTAGAGGCATGTAGAAAATATATCTACTACGCTAAGCCTTCTCCTCCTCCTGACCCCTTTCTCCGTCGTCGTGCTCCGTCGTGCCCGCAGCCCATGTCGTTCCGTCAGCTGCAGCTCATGGCCGGCCGCTCGCTGCTTGACATCCCGCCGGGCGACATTGCTGCCGGGCTGCGTGGCAGTGTGCTCCAGGAGATCCCGTACGCCTACCTGGAGAAGCGCATGGGCGGCGCCGCCACGGAGGGCAGCGTCGGTCGCGCAGCCAACCCGGTCAACTTGCAGATCGCCGCGGAGTGGCCCTCGTGGCAGAGCCGCATCCGCCGTGACAACAACGCCGCGCCGTACACTCTTCACCAGCTGGAGCGTGACATGTACGCGCCCACCATGGACTCCCCTGAGCTGGCTAACCTCAACTGAATTCAGTTGTGAGGTCCTCGTTGGATGTAGTTGTGTTCAACTACAAAAAATTTGACCCATATTCCTATGTCAAGGGCGTTGGTGAGGAGGAGGGGTGGAAGGTTTTTCTTTGAATGAGCGGAGGCCCAAGGTGGGGTGCTGTGTGGTGTCCACGTCATGGACCCCCCGTGCGAAGCCGTAGAGCTTTTGACGTCACCAGTGTGTCTTACGGAAGGGGCCTGGGAGACTTGTGCGTTTTTTAAGAGGGAGCTAGTGTTCGCAGGATGCTAAATTTTAAATGTTTCACGTTGTGTGTGTGAGTGTGAGGAGGAGCGGATTACTGCTGGTGACTTAATTCGAAGGTCATCGACTTCTGTCGTGAGAATGTAGTCTCGGGATTATTGTGGATTACCGTGCGAGGTCGGCACATGCTTTGGTGCGAGATCAGGAAGGTGGACCGGTTGCCTGTTAAAATAGGATGTTCCAGATCTACCTGACCCCACCACAAGTCTTTTCTCCACCGAGCTGAGAAGATTCGGCAGGCCCAGGTTAGCCAGGTTTAGGTCGGTTATCGAGGCAGGCATTATGGGGTGAGATGTATTTTTGGTAGAGTGAGCGTTATTGGAGTTTTTGTTTTTAGCCTTCGTGAAGGTGGAGAGGACACAAACATGGAAGACCGTTCCATCATTCAAATGTTGGGTGGTCTGAAGATCACTGGTTTGGATGTTGGGCATCAAACTTTTATTGGTCCGACCTTGCTTCCTCTTGCTCTTACTCTGCAGGTTATCTAATGTTCTTAGAGCGAGGAAAGTACTTGACTTTGACAATCGCTTCGCATGACGGTTTGATGCTGAGGGTGTTACGGCTAGGGTTTCTTTGCCGTACAACCGTGGCTTGTTTGCCGTATGGAACCAGCCATCCGAGGCATGGGAAGTTCGTAACGACGAGATTTAGTCTTCGTGATGCTGCTGCGTCCAGACGAGTCACATCCGTCCTACACGACAGGTGATTGCCTCGAAGAGGGCTGTATAAGTACAAGTGAAAGTGCACGTTGAAGGAGTGCTGGAATTTGAAAGAGAGCTCATTATTTGGTCAGGCTGCTTGTTGGGTTGCGGTTGACCGATTTTGTTTTATGCTATGGTCTCCTGCCGAACTAAGCAGCGCCCGTAAAATTTGCTGCAATGCGGCTAAATTAGGCAATACACGGTTTAGCGTCGTACATTTGCAGAATCAGGTTATTATTGGGGAACAGGGTATTCCTGCTGTCGCAATGTAAAGTAACAGAGATAAAAACAGACGTGAAATTTGAAGAGGAACTCATTTAAGTGTCAAATAATGCAGTACCTTCCCCCAACGTTTCTTCTTAGCAACGCTGGAACATAAATTGACGATAACGACAAAAGGCCAATGACTAGAGTGGATGATAGTATACAAAACTTAGGTAATAGGGAGGTAGAAATCTTGGTGGTATAGCATTGCATGAAGGGGATTTTATACTTGCAACCTTAGCTTGCATACTCCGCTACCCAATGTCTAACCAAATAATTGGCACCAAAGCAACCTTGGTCATACCTACTCGAAACTGCATTTTACTTCACACTCTTCGTGAGTGTGGAGCTTACTGAATCAACCGGTAATACACGCGAGCAGTTCATGCCGTTGTGTCGCTGATCCCTCAGATTCCAAAAACTTCCGACCACACATTAGATTAGTCTTAAGGAAACAGAAACGATCATTCATCTATCAAAAGGGGACACATGTTCAAGCTAAAGGACTGCGATCGGTGGGTCTGGATCTCCACCGGTGTCCGCGAGAGCAGCTAGGGGAATCCCTTCTGGCATGGCAGGCCCACCCCTTACATACATGCATCTGATCGCAAAAACAGCTTTATCATAAAATATTGAAACGATATCGCCGGGCTTAGGCGACAGCGCGTCCGATGATGCATGTTACAGGTTCCACACAAATAAGGCGTCCGGGCGGCGTTTGTGAAAGGGGGAAGCCCATATGACTAATGGGATAACGACTGAAACTGTACCCTAATTAGGAGATTCAGCATGAACCGTCTATGGGGCCCCCGGCTTTTACGAACGCCCCCCGCACTTGTGCGGCAGTTGTAACTTGTAACACGTTAAAACTTTGAGGAGGCATCCAGAAAACTCTCAGAAGTTATTGGGCATGAGCTTAGACCTCTGTGCGGGGTGGGGCATTGTCGCTCTCTGGGTGGGCGGACCCACACGCGCAGTTGTGCACACATACAAAACATGCGCAAAAAAACGCCTTGAAAGATAAAATACCTAAGACATTCATTTTCTTGATGTGAAACGCATTTACGACAGCAAGCGTGCCATGTGAAGTTTCAATCCGGGAGGTTGGTACGTTGGTGTAACCGCTATGTGGTAGGTTGAGTTCCCCCAACGTTTGATGTTTGACGTTTCCCGGCGTTTTTGACTTTTTTTGGTTTTTTCACGAGCTTGTACCGTCCAAACGAGCCCAGAGGTTCTCCCAGAGGAACCGCCAGCGGCCTCTATCTAATCATTCGCTACATCCGATACAACAAAAACCCTCGCCAGCGGATCCTTTGGATGACCGGATAGAGTTACTAGTTGGTTCGCTTAACCTTGTTTGCTAGTGATCACATCCAGAATCCCGAAAAACACGACCACAAAAGTACGGCGACACCCTTGTGTGTGTGTCTCTTCTTCCACGTAGCTTCGAGAACCATCCAAGGTGATCTGACGCAATGGCCACAGAGCCCAGAGCGCTGAACGGAGTCCAAAACGTCAGGACGTGTATATTCTTACAAGACCTGCTGCAATACGGACTTTGACGCAGGGGGTAGGCAACGCAACGACTTAGCAGCAGTACAGCCGCTGAAGGGGGTGCCGTAGTCAATGCAATCAGCGTCCTCGCTGAGGGGGGGGAAACCCTCCAATAAGTAATAGGTATCTGGCGTGCCTTAACAATATGCAGTTCGCCTACACATAGGTGCACTTGTAGACGCCAGCGTCCGCAGAGGCGGGCAGGACGACTTACACCAACACACAGGTGTTCCAATCGCCGTCCCCAGCCCCACATGAGCCCTTGTAATACGGAAGAGGCTGTGATGCCCAGAAACCAGAAATGGGAGGTCGCAATGGGACGGGATACTAAAGGAATTCGTTGAGATGTTCGCGCCTGTTTCCCGCAATAGTTACTTTTGTCCGGTCCGGTACTTTTTGCTGTGTGAGGAAACCTTCCTAGTGGAGGTAGGGGAACAGCTCCGCCAAAATAGCGCCTCCTTTCGGATTACCTAAGGGCGAGACAGCTTTGAGAACATGCAGCAACCCCCTTGCTGCTTGGTGCTTGCCTTGCACGGAGCGTAGCGAGCAGAACTACATGTCTGAAGTCTAGCACAGGTACCTAGCAGGCTCTCTGCAGTGTACGGTACTGTGCGGAAGGTACGACAACGACGAGGGACCAGGCAGTAAGTGGATCGCCGCCGCCGCCACACAGCACACATACACTCCAACGTTCCATGTATAGCAGTCAGACAACGACGTCAAGGATGAATGTTCTTCACGCTAATGGATTTTGAGGAAGTGTGCCCGCACGTATGCCTGCGTGGCGCTAAAGCGAACCCTGCAGCATGTCCACTTTTAGGCAAACAGCGATATATTCATTTCAGAGCATCGCCCAGCACTTTACTATTGTGCGAGAGTCCGAAGTTTATGGAGGAACCTTAAAGCCCTGCAAGTGCGTACTTGGCAAGGTGCTATAGAAGTAGAAGATAGGAGACGATGATTGACACTTTGGTCCGACTATTTGGCTCGACATTCGCACGACATTCCTAGCTGATGAGAGGGATGTCAAGATGTCAGGGCAATCAATCCTGTCACATTCAGTCTTGTTGAAATAATCGTAGTGTCTTGGTTTCATTATAAATCGGGGAGTTGCAGAGGAGACGTTCCCACCAGCGAGCGATGCCTGAAGATGTCTATGTGCACAGACTGTTGCATTTTCAGATGATATGCAATAAAGATAAGAACACAAGTCGTGCAGGAAAAACGCGCAACGATGCTTTAACGCATAGTGGTTTAAGATGGGCGCGCTGAATTGATCCGGCATGGAGCGCGATGCGAATTATGTTTGAATACATGAAGCATTCATGTAAACAATTAAATACGTTTGGTCAAAAATAAAGTGCGCACCACCAACGCATCGTCCCTGTCTCGCAGAAAATCATACTTCCAATTTCTCATCTAAACGGATCAAATTGCAGCTACTGAAACATCAAGCAAATATAACGACATCCTCCGTGCAAGATCAAAAATGATTCACATTGCACTTTCGCCATTGATCCCGGAATTCGTTTGACAGCGCGAACCCATAAGCCAATCACCCTATCATAAAGCATAAATCTTCCATTAAACATACCCTATCAACCTGGCCGCAACTTGTGGGGATGTAACTGTATGTGGGTTTGTGTGTGTGGGTGCTCGGCCAAATACAGCCGGCGTACGACATCACACTGACCTACTACCTTTCTTATCTTTTTTATATATGCTGCTATGCACCCGGCTTACTCGTATAGCAGTGTTACAAAGCTAGTTGGTTTCAGTAGTGTGTTGTTCCTCATTGATCATCATATCTGGAAAGCATGCAGACTACTATGTCGGTGACTCGCCCATGCGTGGGTCTGCGTCCCCTTCCTGTTCGTAACGTGCGATCTCTGATCCGAGCGCAAGCGGCTCCACAGCAAGTATCGACAGCTGTCTCGACGAATGGCAACGGCAACGGTGCGAGCGTTCTGATTGCTCTAGCCCCAGTACCACTTGTATGCAAATTATCAGCACGGGAATGTAAATATGATACTTTTTAAATATTTGGTGCAGGCGTTGCCGCGGCATCGCTTTCGGTGCCCGCGCCAGTGGCAGCACCTGCACAAGCAGTGTCAACCCCAGTCCGCGCCGTGTCCGTGTTGACTCCTCCACAAGTCTATGAGAATGCAGCAAACGTTGGCGCGTATAAGGTGAGGCATTTTAATCTCTGTTGGCGCTCACAAAGACCAGGCGCACTTTTGGGGCGCCCTACTTTGAAGATATTAAGGGTGTTTGTAAGAAAAGCATGCTGAGGAAACTATGAAATGCATAGAAGGATTAAATTACGTTCCTTGATGTGTTTACTTTGCTTGCGCATGCTAAGCTGAGCGATTGAGAAATTCGTTTGCGGTTTGATTCTTAGTACCTGACAGGGATAATTTATCTTTGTGCGTGCAGGCCTCTCTCGGTGTGTTGGCTACTTTCGTTCAGGGCATTCAGGCTGGCGCTTACATCGCTTTTGGCGCTTTCCTTGCCTGCTCCGTTGGCGGAAACATTCCTGGCATTACCGCATCGAACCCTGGTCTCGCCAAGTTGCTCTTTGCCTTGGTCTTCCCGGTTGGTCTCTCCATGGTCACAAACTGTGGTGCGGAGCTCTACACCGGCAACACCATGATGCTGACGTGTGCGATCTTCGAGAAGAAAGCAACCTGGGCCCAGCTTGTTAAGAACTGGGTTGTTTCGTACGCAGGTGAGTCTGCTAACGGCTTCTGGCAAACCCGAACTGTTATGCCGCAGTTGGGAACGATTAAAAGCCCGACACGGTAGACCGTGGCGACGTAAATCGTGCTCTAGATAAATTTCCAGCTCATTCTCGTTCCATCCAAACCTTGCCTATTTTCAAGCGTTTCCCCGCATCCATTTTGGTCGCACCTATCACTCACGCATGCATTCCTCTGTTTCCAATATCCTCCGCTCCTGCTCCTCACTGAACTTCTGCCCTCACTCACTCAATTGTCATCGTTAAGCCTAACATGTTCACCCGCTTCCTTTCTCTCGTCCTTTCCGCTCCTCTGCCTAGGCAACTTTGTGGGCAGCATTGCCATGGTTGCCGCTGTGGTGGCTACCGGCCTCATGGCGTCCAACCAGCTGCCCGTGAACATGGCCACTGCCAAGTCAAGCCTGGGCTTCACTGAGGTCCTGTCACGCTCCATCTTGTGCAACTGGCTGGTCTGCTGCGCGGTGTGGTCAGCGTCCGCGGCCACCTCCTTGCCGGGTCGTATTCTGGGGCTCTGGCCGCCGATCACTGCCTTCGTGGCCATTGGATTGGAGCACTCTGTCGCGAACATGTGAGTCCTATCTGTCTGTCTGTCTGTCTGTCTGTGAGGAGTCTGCGGGACAGTTTGGCGGTGGAAGCAGTCGCGGACGATATGACGATTGATAAGGTTGGCAGAAATTAAGGCGCGCCAGCAGTGCTACTGAGCGCTAGGTGATATAGGCAGAGCTTTCTGTTCCTGCCTACTCCCTGCTCCCAGTGCGGCGGGAGAGAGAGGACGGCTGCAATTGCCCTAAGAGATGATTACTACGTAAGCAAGCCTTCTTGTCGAAACTGCGGTGTGTGATGGCGGCGTGGCAGTCTAGTTGCGGTTATTTCAGAAACGTGATACCTACTACGAACCCCTCAAGCCGCCTTGCTGATCGTTATTCATCACATGATATATTAGTTAACTGCGGCTATTGCAGCTCCCCCCACCACTGGGACGGCTGCTGGTGTGTATCGCGGGTGCTGGTTTGCTGATAGTATTGGTTTAATGTTTTTGGCCGCTGAGGAAATGTTAAAACTCTCTGCAGGTTCGTGATTCCTCTGGGCATGATGCTCGGCGCCGATGTTACGTGGAGCCAGTTCTTCTTCAACAACTTGGTTCCCGTCACGCTGGGTAACACCATTGCGGGCGTTGTCATGATGGTGGGTGCATCACTCATACATTAGAGTCTCCTGAACTGGTGTCAGTTGTTGCGACCTGGAGGTCGCATGCCTGCACAGACGTCAAATCTCCTCTCGCGCCTACTATTCCCATGACATTCATGCAGCCCTGGCTTGGTGTGGGCTTGTGTGAATGTGCTTGCTTTGGGGTGGCCAAGCTTGATCCGCAGGAAACTAAACTGATGGAAGGGTTACATGGTGTGCTGCTCACATGGTCCCTAGTCCCTCACACGGCCCACTCCCCCACCCCCCCCCACACACACATTGTCTTTTGATGTGTTTATCTCACCGCCCGTTACTGCAGGCGGTGGCATACTCGGTCAGCTACGGGTCCCTGGGCAAGACTCCCAAGCCCGCTACTGCGTAATCTGTACAGATGGAGAGTCTTGCAGCCCGCAACGCGGACTCCATACGCGACTTGGGTGACTTGGCCGAACACCCGTGCAAAGTCTTGTACTTTTGTAGTTGCGTCGCGCACATGGGTAAGGGGAAGTCGTTTTTTTGCTGTCGCACCGCACACCAGGCGACCTGTAGTTGAGGTACCGAAATTTTGATAAGTGCGCTTTTCCTCTTTGACCGTCTGCAATTCAGAAGAGCTGTGCGCTGCGAGTAGGTATGCTAGCACTTACCACGAAGAATGGGAGGGAAATTTTCAGGGAGTAGAGCACACGGTGTATTTCGTGCTTTTTGTGTGTGAGGGCTGAAATGTGTTGATCATCGAACTGTGTGTGTACGGGTAGTGGACTGTTTTCTGCGTGTAGCAGTACTTGTTGTTGTGTGAAGGTCTCGCTTCTGTTTGGCGCGCCAAAGCCCGCGCGCACAACGATTAACTGGCAATGGCAGGTATGGGAAATTGTTGTCGAGGCACGGATGCCCCGGATGCCCTTGCAGGGTGGGGAAACTTGTATCATCGAAGCATGTGGGTTAGTGTCGTACTCAAGTTTTTGGGGAGCTTTAGACTCGTATACTAGCTTTTTGAAAAGTAATTTTCGGCCCCAATTCGGTTTAATGTGCGATGTGCCGAAAGTGGGAATTTCGAGGTGCATGTGCGTGATCGGTTGACAGTTGATGGCCGTCGGTTGTGTCGGTTGAGAGAAGACATCTCGCAGATCGATAAGCGAATCCTGAAGGTTTTGGCGGAGGGATAGTCTGTTATCATGTTCGGTTTTGTGCTCGAGGCCAGGGTTGTACGCTCAGGCAAAGTAGTTGAACTCTGAAAGAGAGGCGAGAGGTATATGGCGAATATAGCATCCGTTGCGCTGCGATGGTCAATGTGACTGATGGAATTTTTTGGCACCCCTCAGCGTATCACGCGCGAGCATGCTGGCAGGAAGCATGGCTTTGCTTGTATGTATGTATGTATGGCGCGTGGTTTCCTACCCTTTCCATCGCTAATCCTCTTGTTGTTTAAAGTCTCGCAAATTCATCACATGTTGTGTATTTTGTTTGGATGGGTGCACGGCAAGTCGGCTCTCACCTGGCTCTTGCGAGGGTGCCAACATGTAAGGAGGCAACCATATACCTTTTAACTGCGGGCTGTGTCAAATGATGTGTAGGGCATATTAATGATAGCAAAACCTCGAACTTGTCATCATATAGCTTTATGCACGGAATGTAACTCTCATCAAGGAGGTGTGCGACTACTTCAGACTCAGATGTACAGTCCGTACAGTCACAGTATATGACCTCGCTGTGTTAGGCCAAATACAAAAGAAGGAACACATTCCCCGTTTCAGTGTCAGACTAACTGGCACATTGTTTTGCGGTCTTGTTGACGAGTAAAGATTGCACGTTATGCCGAAATCCTGATGGACGCAATCTGAAAAGTTAAGTCTCGTTCAAAAGAAGGGAACCATTTTCGTGTGAGAGGATTAAAAGTACTCTTTTGTTTTCTCTCTGGGTAAGCTGCCTTCCAATCGCCCGTAAATCTTCGATGTGGACGCTGTGGATTCAATCCTGCGCATGGTCGCGGCGGCCTCACGGCGGGCTAGCGCCAGGTGTTCATTGAGCTACTGTTTGGCACAGATATTGCGGAACAAGTCAAGAAAAGGAGGTGATTTCAAGGGGGAATCATGTATGCATATATAATACTACCCACCATCGAGTAGAAGCTCAGTAACAAGAGTGTTCCGCAGAGTAGCCCACCGCGGCCCATACATTCGCCTTCATACCTTTCTCGGCCTTTTGGCTCAGATCATGTGTAGTATCTGTTCTTATTAGCTTAATCGCTAATATGGTCCTCATTGAGGACCTGCGATTAACTTGAATATTTCTCGGGGGCTTGTCAATGGTGCGCTTGCGCATCCGACTTGCCAGCATGGTTGCGGCCTTACACTACCGCTGCAGCCGTGCACCCGCCCTAATCATTGACTTTTCGGTTGGGTTTGTGTCTACCTGTCCAAAGTTCCAAAGCCCTACTGTACTTGCCCTAACAGCATTATATAGGTTTAATATGTCAAAAGGCTTTCCAACAGGATCTCGACCCCTTCCATAACTACATAAAGATGTTCATTTGTATTTCTCTATGTAGTTAATTATACCAGTTTGAGGCCGGCACCTTAGTATCCAGAGCCCTGATGCCAGCCCTGACATATGGCGGCTGCGTGTCCATCCGTGTCCTTAAGGGGCATCTGTGGCGCTACTGGCAGCGTACTGGCAGCAGTGCAAGCTAGGCCTCTTCGCCATGGTCTGCTGTTTCGGCTGCCGACATTCTCTGTCACATTCTCTGGGCTGGGACGACGTTGTGCAAGAGCTCCTGCAGCGAACACACGAATACGAACCCCACTGGAGGAGCGGGACCGGCATTATGGCTGCCTCGACAGCGACAAAGCAGCTGCTAAGAAGTGTAGCAACCGTTGCCCCTTTATAAAAAAAGATGCGGTACGGCACATCGAAAGTCATGTTAGTTATATGGAGATATTTTTTCATAATACGCGGCTGCGGTACCTAGCCATGCTTTCATTAAGTTTTAAGGAATGGAGGCTAACGGAGGATGGATCGTTAGGCAAGCTTTCATGGGCGTAGCGAAAATTACCGACCAAGGCTCCGACATGGCCAGAATGCCATCGCCTGCAAAATAATGTTTCGTTCCAAGGAGCTCAATGCTCAAATGAAAAGATTTTCATCTACAATAACATAAGCATGGTGTAGAAGTGCAATAACTTTTACCATGGCCCTCAGGGCGGAGACAAAAACCTAAAAAGCTCGATTCACCGCGTATAGACAGACAGCTGGACATCAGTAATCTGGAATTACAATCTAATACAATTTCTTTCGGTATCAGGTAGGGCTAAGCTGGTCGCATTCGCGCTCAGGCGACCTAGGGCCAGGAGTTCACGTCGGCGTCGGTGGCCACCACCCTTTCTCCTACTCCCCAAACCCACCAAACCTCTTGCGGGCCCCCAACATTACCACCGGCAGGCGGCGGGAACCATGTCGTTGCTCTTCATTAACGGCCGTAAGTACGGTATCCTCTTCCACGGTGTACCAAATATCGGTTGCAGTTGATTGATGCTTGTCCTGCCGATACGCAAGAATTTCGCAATCAAAACACGTGCCGGCAGTTGTATAAAGACAGACAAAATAAACAAACGATCAAAACACACATGCAAACGTACAAACATACGTTACTTTGCATTGGGATCGCCCCGGCCTCCAGCTATCCTGCGTTCCGGTCATGCACATTGGGATAAGGGCGTCATGCCCGTCTTCCCTGCGGTGTCGTACAAACCCTCCCCCGTACACTCTTAACTGCTCTTCGGCGAGCCCCTTTAACCCCCCCCCCCGGCCTGACAGGGGGGGTTGGCGCTCGTCTTCCCCTCGCGGACACACCCGCCCGCCCCGGCCGTTTTCCTCGGGAATTTCCCCCCCTCCGCCCAGTACAAGTTGAGCACATCCCCAACTACCAACTACCAACTTACCTACAGGTGACCCCAGCTCAGTTCGTTGCGTCAGCGGCGACTGGACGTCCTTGCCGTTACCTCTCTTCACGGAAATCCTTCGCAAGCTTCTGGGCCTCGTACAGTACGACAACGAGGCATGGAAGGTCCATGATGTCGTTAAGCAGCAGCAGGGAGATGACGGGATGGAGAGCTTGTACGGCGGGCACGGCAATGCCTGGGGAGGCCTCGACGGCGGCGGCGGCGGTGGCGGCGGCAGTCGCCTGGGGGATGTAGCCCAGGCGGGCCTTGTGTGTCGAGATTGGTACCGGATGTCGCGAAATGGCCTCATGGTGGTGCGACCAGCCGCGCTGCCAACACCGCCCCTGCCGCCGCCGACACCGCCTCCAGGTCAACAACAACAGCAAATCCTCCTCCTCCACCATCACCAACACCACCACCACCACCACCAGCCGCCATATCCGCACGGGCAGCTGCTCGAATATCGCCATTCGCAATTGCCCTTCCGGGAGCACCAACATCATCTTCATGGCTCCAACCACCCGCCTCAGCAACAGCAACCGCAACCGCAACCGCAACCGCAGCAGCACCACCACCAGCACCACCACCACCACCACTGCTGCCAAACAACATGGCATCAGGTCCCCGGCCTTCAGCGGAACCCCTGGATGGCCTTCCCGCACCTAACACACCTCGATTTGAGCGGGACACGGGTGAGGCTGGTGGGGCTTTAGGAGCAGCGGGGGGGGGGGAGGATGGCACAGGCTCGGCGGGTTTGAGGAAGTTAGTTAATTTGGTTGTACGATTGTTTGGCTTCGATTTTATTATATCTATAATTCGGGACCATTTGGTATTGGAGTTTTTTAAAATCAACTGCTGGGCTGGTGGCTTGCGATTGCAGGGAACATAAGATGAAAGGCAGGTTTTTCCCGCCCGTTTGTTTTACGTAACAAAATAATGCAGCAGGATCGAAGAGCGGTCCGGACGTTTTTTCCGCAATGTGTTTTTATCGGGCCGTGTGTGTGACCCGATCTGTTCGGTTTTGTCCTAGCTCGCCTCTCCGCTTTTCTCTTGCGCCTGTTGGCCCCTGTTGACACCACCCACTCCTACGGGGGCGGTGGGCATCAATTTGGTGCTGACAATGGTGTGGTGACGTCGTGGTGTGGTGACGACGGTCACCACGTGCAGGTTGCCGTACAGGATGTCGTGGAGCTCCGCCGGCAGCAGGAGGCGCTGGTGGGAGTGGGGGGCCTCCGGGGATTACGGAGCCTCAAGCTGCCGCTGGCGCTACTGGCGGCGGCGGCGCCGCCACCACTGCTGCCTCAGACAGCCGCCGCTGGCGGCGGCGCCGACTTTTTTCCTCCTCCTCCGTCCCGGGTGCTTCGACACCGCGGCACTCACCTTCTTTGGCCGCCATGGCTACAGTGCCTTCCGTACCTTTCCGAGCTTTTCATATTTACGTATTGTCGTACGGCACCGTACGGCGCAGCAGGCGATCTGCATGAGCATCTAGACCCGCCTTATTATTCCGATGAGGGTCAATTCGACGCGATCGTGTCGCGATTCGACGGCATTCGCATCGAAGACCTGCCGCCGCTGCACGTGCTGACCTCCTTGAAGTTCCAACTTCCGGGAAGCGCGGTGGCGAGCGGCGGTTTGCTCCGAAACCTGCCATCTCTAAAGGCTCTTGAGCTGATAACTGCTGACTCACGCCCGCTGTGTGGGCTCCAGCCGGCACGTGTGCTGCAGCAGTCTCCGGGTGCGCCCGCGCGAGTTCCACCTCTTGTCTGTTAATTGTTTGTTTGTTTTATAGTTTATTTTATAATTCAAATTCATATTCTGTTTGTTTATTTTATAATGATTATTCAAGATATTGTCAGGTTGGCTGCGGGCCGGCAGTTCTGTTAAAACGACATCCGGCGGGTGCCCTAAGACCAGTTCATCAAAGAGGGCGGAAATCTCCTGTTAGAACAAAAGAGTAACAAGAATATGCGGCGTGAAGTAAATTAAAGGGTTCTTAATTAACTTTACGCCTCATCTTCTTGTTACGCGTCTTTCTTCATGTTATGTAGCTATCAACAGCACAACTTCGGCAGCTCCCGCCGACCCGACCTGCGCTGCATACTGCACAACTCTGTATGTATGTCTTTCATTTAGGTAGATAGCAGCCAGATAGACAGACAGATAGATAAATAGATAGATAACTCAGCGGTACGGACCTCCACCATCCGGACCGCTCGACGTCCACAGCAGGTGTTGAGGCCGACCGGCCCTGACCCCAATCCCGTCGCAGCTCGCTTTCCGTACCGTGCCGTAGCGTACTTCCGTACCATTGAAACCCAAGCACCCCACTTCTTGATGCCCATGTTGCAGCTGCGGGGCTGGCTCACCTGCACCTGCCCTGCCTTTCATCCGGCCCCCGTCAGCACGTTGTGCCGCCGCAACCGCCGGCGGGGGGGCCCCCCGCCGCTGCCGCTGCCGCTGGCGGCGGCGGCGATGATGGCGGCGGGCTACCTTTAGAGGGCCTCCGCGCCCTCGCCGTCGCCGCCGGCTTCCCGATCGACACCGACAATGCAGTTCCCCCGGGGCAACAGCGTCTCCGACATCCCAATCCAGATCCCCTGGCGCCGCCGCCGCCGCTGCCTCCGCTGGCGCCGTCGGCGGCGGCCTCGCTCCGTACATCTCTACGGAGCTTGTCTCTAAGCGGGCGATGTCTGATGGCGGACCTCCTGGCGGCGGCAGGTTACCTGGCGGCGGTGACGCGGCTGAGCCTGGCGGGCTGCGATGTACGACCCAGGGGACTGGCGGAAGGACTCCTGAGCCAGCGCCCCGCTGACGGTGGCGGCGGTGGTTGTGTCTGGGAACAGCTGTACGGCGCCGCGGCGGCAGTGCCGCCGGCGGCGTGGCGGTTGCGGCAACTCGACCTGGCGGGCTGTCGCTGGCTCTCCACGGTGCCGTTGTTTGCCGCCAGTATCAGCAAGTACGTACGGCATGCCGTACACCTTTGTGCCTTCCACGGTTCACCTTGAGAAGCGCCGGCCTTTTCGCGTCCGTCCGTCTGTATGTATGTTCTTCTGTCATCATCCGCCATCATTTTTATCATCAGCGTCGTCATAGGGGGGCTGTAGGGGGACTGCCAAGACGAGGCGAAGGGAAAGAAGGAGAAGAAGAATGACTCTTTTTCCCTTTCACAACGTTTGCCGCTCTGTCAACACGCCGTTCTCTCAACACGCCGATGCGTCTTTCAGGCTGTAGATTATTAACACTGCCAATACTTCGCTGCAGTTGCAGCTGTCGTGTCATGAGGCAATTGGCACCTCCCTCGTCCTTGGGGGCCCCCCACTGTCAAGACGACCCCGCAATCCTTTCCCCACTTTCCCCCGCACTGCCTCACAATCGAGCGTCGCGTGTTCGTGTTGTTATGAGGACAGGGATGCCGTACATGCCGTATGTCGTGTCGCATTGCATGCAATGTGATGTGTTAACGTGCACATCACAGACAGGTGGCGCGTGTGTCGTGTTTTAGGAATTGGTTCCTCGCCTCAACACAGGGTGTTGCTGGCGCTGAGCGGCTCCGGGGCGTCAGGGCTACAGCCGCAGCTACAGGTTCTCGATCTGTCCTGCACGGGGGTCAGTCGCCTGCCGGAGGTGCTGCTACTGCCGCCGCCGCCGTCACCGCCGCCGCCGCGGCGGCGAAGCGCCGCCACAGCGAATGAGCACCCAGGAGGCTTTAACGCGAACGAGTACGACGCAACTGCTGCCGACGCTGACGCCATTGGCGGCGGCATTGGCGGCTCCCTGATTGAGTTGAACCTGTCTGGAAATCTCTTACGGGTACGGCTGTTTATTATGGTTTCGGGGCAAGCTGGCCCCCCGCCGAGCCCGGGGCCGGGGCCCTTGAGAAAGGCAGCTAGCTGCCGCTCCACCCTGAAGCCGTTTCAAATCCTATAAATACTTTTTCCTCCTTCCCACGGTCACTGCGAAATTGTGCCACTGTACGATTGCCGCTGTGACTTAGGCTATTCCCGCAGCGCTGGCGACAGGCTGCCCCCGGCTCCGTCTTCTGAAGGTTGACGACAACGGCGCAGGCGGCATCGCACCCCTAACCTGCCGCCGCCGCCGCTCCTCCGCCGCTGCCGCCACCCTGAGCCTCGTACACCACCACCAGTCGGGGAGTAGTACGGCGGCGCCAGCGTCAGCGGCGGCGGCGTTGGTGGCATCCGGCGTCAGCGGCGGCGGCGGCAGCCGTCTCTCCGTTATGTTGCCTGCCACTGTGGAGGAGCTCAGTCTGGTGGTTTCGGGGCCTAATGCTCTGGTGCCGCTACGCCTGAGCGCTGAGGCGCTATCGTCGGTGAGCCGGCCGCGAGTGCCGCCAGCCGTCCTCCAGTCCTCCTCAAAAGTCCGGATTTATCTTTTTGTCGTTCCTGCAGTCGATAATCTTCTGTAGACTGACGATTGACGACTGAATGTCGTTACACAGCCAGTTGTTTTTCGCAATCTGCGTTCACATTCATTCTTGACATTCTTCACCACAGCTAACCTGTCACCCGTCCCGCCATGATCCCGTTGTGCCATTAGTGCTTTTGTTGTTTTGTGAATGTTAGGGTTTATAGCCTCAGTAAAATACGGCCTAAGTGTCTTCTGAAGATTCCTCTAAGGCGGCTGTTTGTTTTAAACGCCCCTGTTCATTTACCCTGCATTCCCTCTGCTGGCCGTACATGCCGCCACCGCAGTACAACCCAGCGGCGGAGCTGCGCCGGCTGCACGTCAGCCACTGCAGCCTGCCCGCTCTCATCGCCATCCTGCCGTACATGCCTGTACTGGCAGATCTGGTTGCAGTACGAGTCCCTGCGAACGTGCGCGGTGTGGTGGGCTCTAAGGCGGCGGCAGCGGCAGCGGCAGCGGCAGCGGCGGCGGTGGCCGCACCAGCCGCCGCCGGCTGCGGCGGCGACGAACGAACTTTCGTGGGCACAGGGGGCCGCCTGTACGACATATCCAGCGGACCAGAGTTGACGGAAGCACCGCCGGTACCTACTGCTACTGCTAATGGTACTGCTGCTACCGCCGTGAGAGGCGCCGCCGCGGCTCCAGCTGTAGCTGTAGCTGTAGCTGTATCCAGGTGTTTGCGATCCGTCACAATTCGGGGGGACCTGTGTGAAGACTTCCCGGCGGTGCACCGCCGTGGGGATGGCTGCAGCAGTAGCAGCAGTAGCAGCAGTAGCAGCAGCACCGACCTTAGCAGTAGCCGTAGCAGCAGTACAAGCAGCCCCGATAGCAGCAGCAGCGGAAAGGTTGACGGCGTTGGTGCCGCTGGCAACGATGCGGCACTTTGGTGGCTGGAGCGCCTTTGCGCCTGTGCTCCAGGAATGCGTACGTTGTCGTACACACGTATGGGCTTGACTGCCGTACCGGACGGCATTGCCACCGCCGGCGGGCTAGTCTCTTTGGACCTGAGTCGAAACCGTTTGTCGTACATCTCCGAATTCATTGGCGATCTGTCGAGCTTGGAGGTGAGGGTCAGGACTGGTTACTTCGTTACGCGTCCTCCGAAGGCGATTGCTTGGTCTGGGAAGTATGCGTGTGCATGTTCCACCTCGGTTGTGTTACCCAGAGAGGTGTAATACCCCGAGTGCCCATACACCAGCTAGCAGAGATAGGCACAAGAGCCTAAGAGCCATAACTTAGGTAAAGGACAATATATAAACCCTAAGTAAGAAGATATGTAAACTCCTCATCTTCTACATCCCCACTCGGCGCCACATAACGGCTATTCACAGTCCGGGGCCTCTGAGGCTTTTACGAACGGCCTCCACATTCATGTGGATATTCTTGAGTTCAACTTGTTTAAATTTCTTGACGTGGCATTTTAGACACCACAAAATGAACTAAAGCCGTAAATCGTCCCCCGCTCTCCCTTCCTCTACTTCCCGCTAAAGCACCTGGACCTCAGTCGCAACCAACTGGACTCCCTGCCGTACCACCTCGTACGGCTAACTCGGCTGGCATCAATAAACGCGCACGACAACCCGGCGCTGTCGCCCGCGGCGGTAGGCGCGTTGCAGGAAAACATGCCGGGCTTGGTGCGTGTACGGCATGGCCCAAGTCATGCCCGCGATGGAAGCTGCGGCGGACAGCGCGACGGCGGCGTTGTACGGCAGGCTGCTAGGCACGATCCGGCGACGGTGACGGCGACTGCGTCGGCGACTGCGGTGGCGGCGGATTTTTGCGCTAGGAAGTGCCGGAAAGGCGCGGATGGGGACCTAAGAGCCGAGGCGCAGTCGGGGGATGATGGGGGTGCGCGCGTATGGGAGGAGGCAGGCGGATCGTCGGCTGTACGGCGGGTTATGGCAGTTGCATAGAAGGTAGCGGGTAAATGGCGTTATTGGCACCGATGGGGGCAAACGGTGTGAGGGGCGCCTTGAAACGCAGCAGCGATATTTCATGTGATGGTCATGACGACGATGAATACCAAACTAAATAGCTTCCCAGGCCTCTCAGCGACATTAATTTCTTCACGGCATGCAACTGCTAAGCGTTAACGACCATTACGCATTTTTAGTTATGGGAATCTTTTTTCGCAATAGTTGCAGTGAATTGTCGCTTTTATACTGCTGATACTAACGGCCTTGGAATGGTTGCACGGAATGGTTTGAATTGGGAATTGGGGCTCTTCAACACATAAGCCCCTTAACCACCACGTGAACGCCATAGGAGCCATAGTCATAGTCATAGTCTGCGTGATGATGTGGTGCCGGTAGCGCCCGAGCGCTCTGCGATTGCGGACACAGGACAGTCCATTTAGGACGAATGGGTGCAAAATGTTTCTGTGTGGTGAAGATTGTAAAAAGAGATAGGTTGATGGGGATTGATGACGTCACCCCTACACCGACGTCACGTCGTGATGTGTTTCGTTGTTCTGTGTTGCTTTCAGCGGCAACGGTGCAGTATCCGTGTGCACTTATGGTGATGATTGCGGTGGTGGTCGTGGTGGTGGTTGTTGCGGTGCACGCCTTGCCAAGCTGTGTTGCATGCTGGTGCATACTTGTGAAACAGTCCAGTCCAGTCCAGGATGGAGGGGCAGAAGCCCAAGCATTCATTGAGAACGTTGGTAATATTGTACTCCCTACCTGTAAATAATTAAATAGCTTTACTTTGTGTTAACAACTTACAAAGCACGGAATAAGAGAGTTACCGCGTATCACTCCCGTCCATTAGGTTCCGGAAGAATACCTGATGTTCCGGAGCTGCGGTGGCAAAACCAAGACCTGCCAATAACGGATCAAACAGAAGCACAAAAACAAAACTTCGCGCGAGAACTCTCTAAACCCTAAAAGCAGCCGGCGTCGCCTAAACTTCCCCCCCCCCCCAGCCCGTACAAAGAGATGCTGAGAACGACAACGACGATGATGAAGAGGCGGCAGCCGCGTCAAGCGTAAGGCTTAAGGAAAGAAGTCCCAGTCCGCTTCACTACCGTAACAGTCTCCCCGGAAAATACACAAGAGGTGCATCTGTGGTTAGTGTGGGCGGACGAAGATAAAGAAACAGGCGGGCTATTTGCCACCAGGGGGCCCCGCCGCTGCTCCGATAAAATAGGGGGAACACGCCCAGCACTCAAATGCTCAAATGTCGCCTTCAGAACTTTTCGACCACAGCACACTGCCATTGCAGTTAGGAATCTGCGCTCATAAATAAACACCGAACCCCTAGTTCGAAAATGCAAAATTGTACAAAAGATAAAATACAGATCTCGTACCGAGAAGAAAATATAGTTCACGCTCGCGCAAGTGTACGGCAAACGTACATTAAAACTACCATAGAACTAATAACAGCGTATCCGGGCATTTGATCCAGGAGCCCTTGTACGATTCACAATAATCATGTACGACTCACAACATCCATGTACGACTAAAAATAAAACAAGCCACGCGCTCGCCAACAAAATCCTCTAGCGGAGCGGAACTCCTGCCGGCCGGCACCTCCCTGCCGCAAGTGAAGCACCAAGGCAAAAGTGGCTCACGAGCGTCTCCTCCGCGAGACACTCATGAGGCGGAGAAACGAACAAAATTTTAACGGAAATAAATCTCGAACTGCAATCCGCTTCAGACGTCCCATATCGATCCCAGACGTTTAGGTCATCGCGCCTCCGCAATTTAGAGAGCTGAGTCAATAGCACAATAACACAAGTACCATAGCACATGATATGTCGGAGGCTGTGATTCATGCACAGCACCCTGGAGTTTCAAAGTCACAGCTGCGTAAAAAGCGCACCGTCCTCCGCACCAACCAAAGCACGCGTCCTATTTATTTCTTATCTGCTAACCCCATTTGGACTCACTCGATCGCTCTTCCCGCGTCACCTCTCCTCTCCGACTCTAGTTCCATTCATCCACTGCTGGGATGCGAATAATGCAATCTACAACGTGTAGTATGTTTGTAATCTCCCACCATGGTGGCCCCGGGGACCTCAAGATTCCACCGCGACTGACCCACGGGTCCGTTGGTACATGTGAATCACGAACAGCCACTCGATGGCGTGCGCACCGGCAATGGCCAGATGCATTAGCTGCTGTGCGGCACCCTACGGAGCATGAGGAAGAGGGAGCGGGCCGGGGGAGTGGGAGAGGGAATGGAAGTGGTGGGAGGTTGAGAGAATGGGCTGCACTGGCTGAGTATCTATTCCCTTTGTACTGCAGTCGATGTTACTGCTGCCCGTGCTATGACTGCTAATGTCATTTGCTGCTGCTGCTGCTGCTGCGGCTGCTGCGGCTGCAGTAGCAAAGGAGGACTCTCTTGTGCAGGCGGCGATTTGCTAAGGCAAAGAGAGGCACAAAGGCAAAGCGGCGCAACGTGGATCCCGAAAACACCGACGCTGCAAATCCCCCCCTCCAGAGCAACATGGACCTCATGTGGTCGGGGCATTCCGTCCATGCAGGTAAAAGCTATAGCCACATGCTATATAGCCACACAGCAGATCAAGGCGGTAGTAAACACGTGCTGCACTGCTGCACGATGTCACACATTTGTCACAGCTAATAAACCTTAACACAAAACAGGAGGGTTCCAAGAAACATGTCGCTTGACGATACCGTTTTTCCGTTGGGCCTGAACTTTACCCGCCCGCATCACTCGACTTCCATCTTTCTATTCCTCGTTCAAGGTAAATTGTTGAATAACCGCTGTTTCCTCTCCCGCGCTGCTCGCCTGACGCGCCGTGGAGGTACCCCATGCGGGCAAACTTCACTACATGAGACTCACCACAATGTCAAAGACACCTGGTGCGTAAATGTCCGGAAATGACACCACGTAGGTTACTCCCCCAAACAGGAAGCAAAACGTAATGGCGGCAGCGCACCAGAACGTGTACGGCAAATCGTGCATGGCTCCGGGGTTACTATTGTCGTACAGTATAAATTGCTGCATGTCGCGACCTGCTTGGAGCAGGATGGGGAAGGTGTAGACAAGGACCACGTAACCCTGCAAGTGCGATTGCACGACAGTACGGACATGTCCAGGTGAGGTGAAATACATCGCGCCAATGCAGAGACCTGAAACCACAAAGCCCAGATAGACGATGCGGCCGCACAGGGCCCTATCGCCTTCTAGCCATCAACTCACCACGTAGCGCGTGTTGGCCTTCTTGTCGATTTCCGCCCCCGCAGGCAGTGTGGCGGCGTGGTGCCAGGCATGCAGAGACAGCCCAATCGTTACCGCCGTTAAGCCCAACGCGTACGGCAAGGGCATGACGAAGTACGATAGTCCGTATGTGAGGGGTATGGAGGCGATGAATATGAAGGCCACATCCAGAGCCCTCCAGCGGCGCAGCACCGTGGGACTGATACACAGGAACTGGTGATAGCCTGCCGTGTCAACGTGAGATGAGAGATGTGACGGGGAAAGGCGAGTGCGTTGTGTATGTGTGGGGGAGAGACAGAGAGAGAGAGAGGGCGGGGAGAGAGAGAGAGGAGAGAGGGAGAGGGAGAAGAGAGACGAACGTGATGGGCGCAGGCGGGTGTGGAGGCAGCAACCTGGACCCCCAGACGGTTGTCTGATGGCGACCTGATGGCGCAACCCCGTGGAACCGTAGCTGGGTGTGGTGTGGCGTAGTTTGCTGTACTTTGGTGCGTAATGAACCTGACCCAGATCAGATATCATACTACATGTAGTAAAGTGATGTATGGTGCGTGTGGATGTGGGTCTGAATCCGCATGTGGATGTAAAGGTTCGTTTCACAAACTAGACACCAAACGTCGATTAGACCCGGAATCGATTGACGCAGGTGGTGGTGGTTGGATGGGAGGGGCGCGAACTTAATTTACTGGACACTGGACCCACGGCTTCCGACCTCCATTCGGCAAACATGTAAATCATCAGGCCGTCACACCGCAGCACACGCACCCACTGTGAAAGGCAGGTGGACGGTGGGGCACAGCCACAACGCAAGGAAGGGAGTCAAGTCGAGCTCCCGAGGATGCAGCCGAGTCAGAGTCCAAGCCAGCAGCCAGGAAGACACGAGCCAGCCTGCAAGGTAAAAGAGGCGCCAAATCGCGGAAAGCACAAGGCAGGAGACAGCAAGGCGCGACACATTCTTCTGACTACCAGCCGCTAAAGATGGGCTTTTCCAAGCAGCTGGGGTGCTGAACCTTCATCAACCAAAAATATAGACAGCTGAGCGACTGAGTGGCTTTGTGGCTGTGCGGTCGTATGGCCATGTGGCTGGTTAACCCGATTAAGGCGGCAATAGGAGAGGCAGCAGCTAGGAAGGCATCTTCTGCACTGGGAAAGCCAAGCTTGGAAGAGGCTGGGCGAGAGCTGGGCGACCCACATCAAAGCTAAGTTGGAGCTTGGCGCTTTTTGTTGCGGGGACGAGTTGAAGGTCAGTCAGCTGCGTCACATCACTGCAGGTTGCATCGTAACACATCGCACAGTCGTCACGTAGTCTCCTCATAACCAAACGTAACAGATGGCTGGAGGGTGCTACAGTTGAGGGCTTGAAGGGCGTGCAGCACTGCGCACATTCCATCGCCGTTAGGGCGGTTGGAACCCTTTGCGAGGAACAGAGAACGCCTTGCAACAAGTAGATTCCTGTGTTCCATGTGCCCTAAGTGGGTTCCTTGAGATGCAAAAGTCCTGAGACGTGGGGTTTCCTGTAATGCACGTTGCGTGTCGATTGCCCGCAAGCCTGACCCGGCGGTATGCACGCGCACATGGCGTAGTACCATTTGCACAAGGATTGGTTGCTGCCTCATGTGACAAGCGACGCTGATATTTTTAACACTGGTAGCTTAAAAAAGCTCAATGCTACATGCCGTGCAAGCAGCACGTGCCAGGCCGTAATTTGCAGTAGGACCCTTACCTAGAATCATCGTCCAGCTATTCAAGGTCTGGTTGTGCCATGTGAAAAGAGTCCAGAGACACTCGCTGTAGGTGCCTCCCTGACGGTATCCGGTTGTAATTCCAGCCAAGCGCAGGCCATGCGGTACTTCATCAGAATGCAGTCCGGTTCTCATAGGATACACACATTCATCATCATGGTGCCCTTTGCCTGAACGCCGGTGACTTTTTGTTGGCCGTGCATCCGCGAAGACGGCCACGGTCGTAACAGTTCTGCTTTTCGCATCATATACCACCGCAGAACTCATATTATAAGGTTTGACCACGCTTAGCCGTCAAACTGTGAGGTAGCTTTGCATGAACAGGTCACGAACCCTCTGGACGTAAGCAAGATGTTCATTCACGGCTTCAACATGTGCATCAGTGTACTCGCAGCTACCGGCTAAGAAGGTCCAATACTAGGATTATGTTATCCCAGATTGCCAATCTGACTAATTTGCCGCTTGTACGGCGCGTATCGGCGCGTACACCTTTGCAAGTTGCTAAGGTGTACGGTCCGAAAGCACCTCGGGCACCTTCATGCTCCCGGCCTTCAACGGAAAGTTGTCTGTAACGTCTTGCGTAAATCTCAACTGCCACGGCCCATATGTTCGTTGTTGCCGCACGCCGGTAGGAACGACAGCTAATTCTTACATTGGGGCATGCTGGCACTCGTAACAGCATTGCTCGCCGTGTCAAAGGGTTCTTGCCGCGTGTCCGCGCGGTGGCCATGCGGCCGAGTGGAGCGTCATGGTGATGATCTGCACATGCTTCCGTACAAATATTTCGCGCAGCGCTGTCGGCGCGCACAGCGTGCCGCACAAAATGTGTGAATGGAGCTTATCGTGGAACGAAGATGGATACTCATCGCATTCTCCAGCTTCATGTGAGCGTGTGTGTGTGTGGTTACAGTGGGCTCCAGACTCACGGAGAGTAGAACCATTGGACGTGTAGGGCCAGTAAAGCCAGCTGGCCAGCTTCATGTCATGCTCAATCACCCAATCTAAACATGACGAAAAACTGAGGACCGCTTGCGGGGAGTAGTTAGGGACGATCGGATCCCCACATCGAGAATAAGCAAAGACTGCGGAGCCAAGGATAATACGAAACGCAGGCGAAACCAGTTATGGTTGGCCAAGTAGGCTCGGAAACGCCGCTTCGGAACGCTGCAAACAACGACCGCATGCGTCCACGAAAAATTGAACTTGGCGTTGGGTATCACCCACGCGGCGCGGGGTCGGCTCGGAACTGTTCGGATTGGTGTACAAAGGTGTTTACCATAACGGGTCCTTACACAGCTGTGCTATTCTATTACATGTGGGTCTCCGGGATATGCAGGGACTTACAGTGCAAGGCGCGCGTGAAGAGCCCAAACCGCGCACGTGCGGTCCGCGGATCTCTTACTGTACCTTGCGTCATGTGCTTTGCATCATGCAACGCACATAGAATCGAAATATCTTGATGATCTGATATGTTTGCAATCGATTCAAGATGGTGCTTGTGAAGCTTCATGCTGCTTCCCATGCTTTCCAACCTAGACCTCCAGTCCAAGACTATAGGCAGCTGTCTCATTACCTGCCGTTTTCCCTCCGCGTCCAAGCAAAGCAGCCTACTATTCGTAGCCATCACAAATTAGCAAATGTATTCCAAGGCAGGGACACAGACGCAGAGTGCTAACCTATATTGGGGAGACTGGGGTAGTGAATAGTAGTGGGTCAAAGAGGAAGGAAAAATACCAATTCGTCGCTCCTGCAGCGCTCTGGTCCAGCAGCGCTCCGAATTCGTTGGGATCATCCAGCCATGTGTTTGGCGCTTTGCGCCGCGGATGTGGTTCTATGTGCGCTCGCCCACCAGGCGTCGATGCGAACGCGGCCCGGGTCATCTAGTCGCGCGGCCCTGCTGTTGCCGCTTGCGGCCGCGCTGTTTGCGCTGCCGGTCTTGGCGCTGGACGGGGCCGCGAATCCTGTCCTGGCACAGAGCTTCTGCTGTATTATGTCCATGTCGGCGTTCAAGGTTTGATGCTTTCCATACGGGTCGTTGCCTTTCCAAAACCTTTCGAATATAACTTTCGGGTCCTGGATGCTAATCTTTCCTTTACCTCCAAATCTCCTTCCTTTTTATTATCATAAAAACGATGAAAGCGTACGTTGCTGCGGGCCTGCCTTTGCTACGCTAATATGCATGCAGATCATCGCGCTGAGCGCGGGAAGGGGCTGTCTCGCAGCCCGAGAGCAACAGACGGCCTTTGGGCGCTTCCTTCTCGTATGCTTGCTTCCCGTAATTCCCGCACCATCTGAGCCCGTCCTGACAGGCAAGTCGCATGACCGCTAACCACATGCTAATAAAATTGCTAGCGTCCGCGCTATCGGCTGGCGCAAATCTCATCGGACAACCTCCCGTCGGAACTCCTTAGCAAGGTGGTCAGAGCACCCTGCCAAGGGCCGCAAGATAAAAGGCCCTCTCAATTAGCCCACCTGTTCCTAGACACTGCTGCTTCCTTTCCCGTCGCATGCAACGGTTCCTTTCAAAGGGACACATATATAAACATACATGGAGACATACGTACTTACAGACACACACACCGCGTTGCGTTATGCTGGTTCGTACGCAACGCAGATTGGCGCCAGCGCCTGAAAGAAGCTGCTGCGAAGCTGCGACACGGGCTGGCGAGCTTGGGTGAGTGTACGACGATGAAGGTGGGGAGTTTGGCGGGGGGACTATGCAGGATGTGTTGATGGTCACGGCTGATGATGGCCAGCTGGAGTTGGCAACCCTTATCCACACCACCTGGCTGAAGGGGGTCTCCAATAGCAGGCGCATTGCGAGAGCATGACAGTCCGAATAGCTCGGTTAGATCGGCGGTATTGACGTGCGGTAGGATAGCAGTAATCCTTGCGTCCCTTTGTGGTGGTATCTGTCTGTTTGGGAGCGCCTTCGGCCCCTGGGCCCTTCTCTGGGTCCTCGTACGTGCGGGCGTTACTACAACTTTGGAGTCGGGTAACGCAACTCGAAAACACGCTGTAAAACACATGTATGTATGTTGTTACAGGGTGGTTAGGTTAAGCTTCACCAGCGGTCCCCTTTCCCGAGGCAGTTCCCTGCTCTCCCCTGCTAGAGGGGCACCCTAATCCATTCCGACCCCATCCGACTTCAGCGTGTGTTCTTTGGGTTCGACAACTCACCACCAGCATTCCTGGTCAGCTCGCAAGGTGATGTTAGCTCGTCCTTCACCGTCCACAAGAGTGAAGGCCACCTCCCATTTCATTCCTTCTTATACACCCGGATACGAACTCGGACACTCCGGGATCAGAAGTCGGGCCTTAACCTCTGCCAGCCACCTGCCCCATGTATGTATGTAAGGTTTGCATGCCGTACGTGCTCGTGCCACTTGCCGCCGCCGCGCCGCCGCCGTTTCCGCAGTGAGCGCTGTGACGCTAGCCGCGCTCTCCACCTCTGCAATCCAGGCCGCCGATACCCACCTCCGGGGGCTGGCGGCCGACGCATCCCTCCGCATACATGCCGCCACCACTGCGACGACCGCCGCCAATGGTGCCGGCATTGGCGGCAATCGCGGCTACTTGGAGAACCTAATGCCATTAGCGCTGGTTCTAATGGTCCGTACGGTGTCGTACTTCTTCCTGGGTAAGTGAATATCTCCCGATGGGACCCCGCTGTCGTCACTCGCTTCAGCTGCTCTTCCCTTCCCGCCCCTCCCCAGTCTCCGTGTGTACATATATGTTGCTACAGGGTGGTATAGCTTCACCAGCGGCCCCCTGTATGTATACATGGCCTCTCTCCCGCCTCCGTCAGATTGCAGCCCGCGCTACCTAGCCCAGCCCATCCTTGCTTCCTGGGCCTCCTGCATTTCTTGGGGCAGGATTTAACTGCTGCATCTCACATGTTTCTACCCTGGGCTCCACTATCTGAAGTCTCGTCAGCGTTCCTACTTACATCTCCAATCTGGCTGGGTAAATAGCCCCTCGGTGCATTGCCACTGCCCCTCCACCGCCACTGCCCCTCCACCGCCACTGCCCCTCCACCGCCACTGCCCCTCCACCGCCCCTGCCCCTCCACCGCCACTGCCCCTCCACCGCCACTGCCCCTCCACCGCCACTGCCCCTCCACCGCCACTGCCCCTCCACCGCCACTGCCCCTCCACCGCCACTGCCCCTCCACCGCCACTGCCCCTCCACCGCCACTGCCCCTCCACCGCCACTGCCCCTCCACCGCCACTGCCCCTCCACCGCCACTGCCCCTCCACCGCCACTGCCCCTCCACCGCCACTGCCCCTCCACCGCCACTGCCCCTCCACCGCCACTGCCCCTCCACCGCCACTGCCCCTCCACCGCCACTGCCCCTCCACCGCCACTGCCCCTCCACCGCCACTGCCCCTCCACCGCCACTGCCCCTCCACTGCTCCTCAACCGCTACTTGTAAGATATAAGATTAACAACAATAAGATTAACAACAACACTGCATAAGAGATATGTATATATATACTTTGGACGTGTATAGTGTCATCATTGAATAATTCGGCATCATGGTGTAGTGGAATCACACCTGTCTTACACACAGGAGGTCCCCAGATCGAAACTGGGTGATGTCACCTTTTGAGCCCCCAGCCGGTCTGCGTGGTGACGATCTCACAGCACATTACGCCACCGTTAGGTTGCCAGTGGGAAGCATACTCAAAGAGTTCGCTAGGCGGCTCGACTCCCGGTGGGAGTGCCCGGATACCCTCGGTAATCCATGCACCTTCCAAAGTGGAAGTACCGGCGGAAGTACCGGCACAAGTGGCTGGCCCACGCTGAAACCGCCATGCTCCAACGTTTGCATCCAGTGCTTATGCGTTTCTGGTTAGGCTGTTGGGAGTTAGAGATTAACTGGCCTAACTGCCGTAAGTGCACAGCGTGCACCTCCAGGCTTTGCGACTGCGGGGTGGTTGAAGACGGAATGCATGTCTTTGTGGAATGCCCGGCGTACATAATACACGGGCTAAATACGAGCATGACCTCGCGTTTCAAGGGCTTGACATGCGCACGATTATGACCGAGGCCCCACCCCTGGCACTAGCCAGCCAGGTTCCCCTTGGAAGTTTCTTGGAGACCCGGCATGTTGCTCTAAGGCGCTCCGTGCTCAAGCGGACTTCCGAGGGAGGGCGATGATGGTGCACCACGTAACCCCACTAGAAACGATTACCGTCCATGTGCCCCCCGGCTTTCACGGTTACCCCCGCACTTGTGCGTGGAGCTTGTAAGTTATAACTTCACCTGTTTGCACCGCACAGCCGCCGCACCGCCCTCCACCGGCACCGTCCCAACCTTGCCATCCCTCTCTCTGTCCCTACCCGCGGACTTCGGCGCTCTGGTTTTCTCGCGCTTGCTGCACATAAGGCCCCCTTCTGCTGGGGTCTCCTGGCCACCTCCCTCCTTCCCTTCCCCGCACGAACGCGGCGCAATTTGTGCCGACAGGTGTCGCTCTGATGCTCGAGGTGACCGGTATGGGTGATCTGGTGGACATGGTGCCGCTGCTGGCGCTGGGACAGAGAGTGGAGCTGCATTTCGACGAGGCTTGGAAGGTGAGGGTGCCGTGTGGATGGGTGGATGGATGGGTGGGTGGGGGGGTGAGTGCGTGTGTGGGTGGTAGGTGCGTGTTGGGGAGGGGAGGGGAAGGAGGCCTAACCCGCCCTGTTCGCTCAGCTGGTGCTAAGCTGTTCTGTTTTTTAACAGGTTTCACCTGTCCGCCATCATTCATTAAATTGATGGTTTCATGTGTGGGGTCTGTTGGGCCGTTGATTCATTTTGTGGTTAGTCCGTTGCACCGTTAATCCGTTAACCCGTTGCGCCGTTAATCCTTTGATCCGTTGCAGGCGGCCTCCTTTGCCGAGCTGTGGTCCCGGCGCTGGAACATCACCGTCACGGGGGTGCTACGACCCGTGTGCTATGACCCCGTCATGGAAGGTGAGGGCCGGGGTGGGCGAGGGGGGCTGAGGTGACAGGGAGAGAAACGGGTGGGAGTGAGTTATGACATGGGGGGAGTGGGGGGGAGGTGGGAGGTGGAAGGGCAGGAGAGTGTGGAGGACGATTGGGCTGAGGACGGGGTGGGAAGAGGCTGGGTCAAGGGTGGGCGTTCGGGTGGGTGGATGCAGGAATAAATTGTGTTAATGACGGTTGGGCCGTTTCGCACCCTGCCGTACTGTACTATGCCAGGGCGATGGGCGGCGGCGGAGCCGCCGCCGCTGCCGCCGCCGCCGCCGTCAGGACCAGCGCCCTCGGCTCCGACACCACCTGCCGCCCCCGCGGCCACCGTCGCCGCTTCAGCGGCAACGGAAAGCACTTTAACAACTACTACACAATCCGGAAGCTCCTCCACCAGCAGTAAAACCAGCTGTGGACGAGGAGGAGGGGAAGGGGATGGAGGCGGCTCCAGAGATGACACGTCGCCACTCCACTTTCAGAACCACAAGGAAGGCCAAAGCCAGAGCCCAACAACCTCGTCCATTCCGCTGCCCGAGCTCTTGGCTTCGCTGTCGCCGGACGCCAGCAGCCATAGCAGTAGCGACGGCAGTAGCTGTAGCCCCGGTAGTGATGTCTGCAGCAGCAGCTTCAGCAGCATCAGCGGCGGCAGTAGCGGCAGCCCGGCGCTGCGGAACATGCTGGAGCGAGCCTGGAGCGGTGATGGCGTTGACGGCGGCGGTGTTGATGGCGATGATGGTGGTGGTGCCGGCGGCGGCTGCAAGAGTGTCTGCGTCGGCAGCTTTTCTGCCGCGCACCGTCGGCGTGCAATTGGCACGTCTGCCGCTGAAGCGTCTGATGCCGTACCACCTCCCGTACAGAAATCCAAGATGTTCACGGCGGCAACGCCGGCGCCACCTAACGAGCTTAACCACCAGAGCCGCCGCCGCGGCCAGTCACAGCCACGCCAACCACGAACCGCAACCGCCGCGGCGCCGTCCGGATCACAAGCCGCCAACCTGCATCGATCGTCGCGCGCACGGCGTTTCGCTGCCGTACAGATGACCTTCCTGGTTTCGGGGCTGTGGCATGAGCTGGTTTGCTACAGCATGAGCGGCACCACCACGGGCGGCAGCTGGCTGCTGCTGTTTGCTCTACAGGTGGGGTACCGGCAACCGTCCTAACAATCGCAATGTTTCATTGGGATGTTTAATGAGGGTTAGGGGGTTTAGGGGGATAGCAAGTGCAGGAGCAAAAGAGCGGTGTCATCTACCCTTCCCTTTCTCGTGCACGCACGTACCCACCCAAACGTACCCACCCAAACGCCACGTAGGTGGTTCTCCCCCCCCCAATACACCCCACACCGCTCAAAGCACCTCTCAAGTGCCACTGAATTGCATTGGAAGCCGCACAGCCGGATTGTGTTTGGCACCAAACGTGCTATTTGCTCTGCTCTCTTTCCCCGGGCTTGGCGAAGTGAATCTCGTCTGGTGAGGTGGTGGTGGGTACCCAAGGGAGCGGGAACCACCTCCCGGGTGAGCTACTGCCGAACTGAACACGCGCGGTGGACCCTTAAAGGCGTGGGTGAACAGCTTTTGAACAAGTTTTGAACCCTCATTCATACAAACCGTGTATAACTCTCTCCTCCGGGGACCCTAATCCGGACCGCCGTAATCACCATTCCGGCCACCGGCGTTCACATAACACGCACACTCCTCCTCCTCAGACACACACACACACACACACACACAGCAAGTAGTGCACATTTTGTATGTTGCATATAATTCTCCCCCTCCCCGGTACACATAGCACAGAGGAACTGCAAGTTTTGCAAGCTCCGAGCTGTGGAAGACGAAAGGCATGTACTTTTGGATTGGCCAGCATATATGTAAACCCCATGCAGAGGATGCCTGTGCAGGATATGTGAATGATGGTCACACCGCTGGTGACCAGCTTGACTTGGCAACCCTTATCCACACCACCTGGCTAAAGGGGGTCTCTAATACCAGGCGCACTGCTAGAGCATGACAGTCCGAATAGCTCGGTTAGATCGGCGGTATTGACGTGTGATAGGATAGCAGTAATCCTTCCGTCCCTTTGCGGTGGTATCTGTCTATTTGGGAGCGCCTTCGGCCCCTGGGGCCCTTCTCTGGGTCCTCGTACGTGCGGGCGTTACTACAACTTTGGAGTCGGATAACGCAACCCTTCTTTAACGGCTGCAAACACACACGCTAGAGTTGCGTAACGCGCACGCGCACACCCACACGCACGTACACACGCATACACACACGCACACACACACATGCGTACACACACACGAACACGAGACACACACGAACACGAGACACAAATTGGCTCCGCTGACCTCGTCCCTGGACCATCTCCCCAGGCCCCTCTCATCCTGGTGGAGTCCGAGCTGCGGCATAAGGCCCGTAAGCTGAGACTGCGAGTCCCCCGTGCAATAAAGTGCTGGATCGTACACGGTCTCCTCTTCCTGCAGGTACGGCAGCGAAACACACGCACCCACACGCTTTTCCGCCGTCGATCTTCCGCGTTCTGCGTTCTCCTGAAGGGCATGGGCGTATGTTGTTGGCGAAGGCGCTTACGAACACATACACTGAACAGTGACTTTGCCACCAAAACGGCATGCACAGTGCAAGTGTAAGAAGGGTTCAGCTCCCTTGGCTTCTCCCTGGGTACCCCTTGCCTGGTGTGAGAGCAAGTAGGCACTTAATCACACACACAACCTGCACACTTCACACCATGAAGTCAACTTCACAGCCAACAACAATTTTCGCAACTGCAATTTGCGGAGTCTCACATTAGCTTCTTGGGCCCTACTGCTACGCCTGGCTAGTTCAGTTCCAGTTCCTCGGCTGGCTCCTCTACCGCCTGGAGGCATATGCATACGCACACGCACACGGACATGCATATGCCTCCAGGGAGGGGCAGGAATGCTATCAATCTGTGAGTAGAGTAGAGCGATCCTGGTGTGCTTTACACGGCCCCGCAGCTGATGCTGCTGTGGTACCCACCAATGGAGAGGACCGGGATGTTGGAGGGCTTGACTCGCACGGGGGATCGAGTGATGGCGGCGGCAGCGGCAGCGGCGGCGGTGGCGAGGCGCGCTATCACGACGGTGGCGGCCCTGCTTCCGGCTGCCACAGAAGCGACTGCGGCAGCCTTGACAAGCGGCTCTAACAGACTTGAGCTGTGAGGAGCGATACCAATACCTCACATGCGCAGCCTAGGCGCCTTTTGCGATGTCCTGTGATGTGTCTGTGTGTCATCACTTTTTTGACGCTGCTTCGTAAGCCAAGGCGGAGCTGCTGCCGCGTTTGCATTTCCCTCTTCCGTGTGCCATGGGCGTCATGGGCGTCGTCATGGGCGTCGTCATGGGCTGCAAACGCAGTATACGGCAGTATACGACAGTTTCCAGCATATTGCATGGCACTCGACACTGCACAGCAGCGAACCCTGTACGGCACTGCACATTAACCTCGATACATTGACCTGGTTTCGCTGCTATGTAAGTGTTAAGTAGGAGTAGCAGAGTGAGTAACGGAAAGTTGCGCTTGCTTGCTTGTTGCGAATGTTAAGTTGCACGCATGACGTTGCGCGTTAGGTTGGAAATTGTTGAGGATCGGAGTTGCCGCGGTTGGCGATGCGGGGTATGCAAGTGCAGGCTTGGGGAGTTGGATTTGAGCTAAACGGAAATTTGCAAGACGTCTTGCGAGTGCAGGCGATTTGTGTGAGGGCTGGGAAGGCTAGACTGCTGAAGTGTGCTGGCTATACTTGGCTGCTAACATGTGTATATGCAGAGGATCATTTTCATCGGTTCTTCCCAACGCACGCCTGCAGGTGGCCGAGGAAGGTGGAAATACACCGGTTCTGGGTTGTTGCCTCCACTGGTGATGCAGGCGTTAAGCAACTGATCCTAGAGTGCGTATGATCGTTTTGGAAGATTTGTGGAAGAAAGGAGAGATGAACTGAAGGGGAGTCGTGCAGTTTGAGTTACAACGAGTAAAGTACTCGAGGGATGAAGACATGTTGGTGAAGCATACATAAGACTGAGAATTTAATAACGATGGAATCATAAGTTAACTCCGTGAATGCTAGGGATGCCCGGAGTGGGATGACCGCGTGAAAGAGCGACTGTTATAACTCCAAAACGGCCCACGGGACGAGCCCTTCAACTTAGTGGCATGCTTTACCTTCCAACCCTGATCAACATATACAGATATAATTTGCGGTCTAATTGAATCTGAGTCGCTGTAATGTAATGCACCACTTTCTATCGAGGCAACCGACGTATGAGGACTATCGGTGTGCGCCTGGAAAATTAACTCATACTTGTGATGCCACCTTTTCATCACTTCAAATGTCTGTATGGCATGAGGTGCTACCTATGAGATTGAAGATCAGAAGTTACAGGTCCGCAGGTCCTAAAAATAGGCTCCGCGGACAGCCTGCGTTAACCATGCAAATTATCGACTTTTTTTGGATATCTGTACCTATGTTGCAATAATTCAGGACTTGGAAGACGTAGGGATGGAAAAAGGAAATGTGGATGGCATTGTCGACGCTCGTGGTGAAGCCGGTCGTGTTTCTCCTGAGTATAAAGAGCCCTACAACAGAAGACTTGTAGATGGATTGATTCTAACTGAAAGCGGCTCTGGCAGCAAGGGTAACAGTTTCCTTCCTGCGCCGGTCAGGGAGGCCAGCGACGCCAACAAAGCTGCACAACCTGCCGCTGCTGCTGAATCAGGCAACACAACTTCTATCAAAAGCGTTGGGGGGGAAAGCTCTGTACGGGACGTTGGCTCGTCAGGCGAACCATCGATGACCTATCACATCCCAGCTCTCGGAAGCGAGGTCATGCGACTTCTTGACCAGGACTCGGAAGCTCAAGGGGCCAGCCTGCAGGGACCAGTCTCGGAGAGCTACGTCCCCGGCGGCGAGTCGTCATCCGGCCGCGCTAGTCACAGCAGCGCCAACGCACCTGAGGCATCGGGTCTCGTCCCCGTTGCAAATGCTGGGGGGGGAGGTACTGACGGTGGCAACCCAGTTGCAGAAGGGAGACCCTCCGGGATTTGGACTGAGGGGTCAACAGCCGATACCGAGACAGCGGATACAGCGGCGGGTGCGGCAGTATCGCCAGAGCCGGCGGAAGAGCAGCCTCAGCGGTCGGCTGGGTCCCAAGCCTCCCTAGGCTCACAGCCCAGCGTAGCTGGTAGTACTTCAATGATGTACGGCGCTGGCGTCTCTCGTGGCGTGAGCCCGGTCATGCCGGCCACCGAAGACGACGCTGACGGCCCCGCCGACGTCACCGCCAGCGCTATCGGGACAGCTCCATCCTCTGCAGACGCATCCCCGGGGCTTGCCCCAAAGGCTGAGGATAGCGGCGCCAGCGCCACTGGAAGCGGCGGCGGCGGCGGCGGCGGCGGCGAGGACGGAGAGGGGGGCAGCGCTCCTGGTACATCAGAATCTGCGGATGGTTCCGGAGCAGGTCGGCTACTGCAGCAGGAAGAAGTCCGAACGGAAAAACGTTGGTCGTCCGGAACCTCCCGGGGGGTCGCTCCTGCCAAGGACGCGGCGGACGCGGATGTGGGCGCTGGCACGACTGATATTACTTCCACGGGGGGTCCGGATGCCGGCAGCGGCGCAAGCCCTGAGTACGGCGCCCCGGGGACCGCCGACGACACTGCTGATGGCGGCAATGTGGCAGCGGCTGAGGGCGGCCGTCGTTCTGACGGCGCCGTGATGGGAGACGGGCGATCTGGGTCAGGCGCTGCCGCCGTCACCGCTGCAAGAACCTCGAGTGACCGCGGCGCGGCGGCAGTGTCCGGAGGTGAAGGTGGAGGTGGAGGTGGACCTGCCGAGGGTGGGGGCCCCGGGGAGGGCGCCGGTGCAGCGGCTCCCAGTCCTGACGTCGCGGCGGCGGAAGGGAGTGGAGGTGTAGGCGGCGGCAGCGGCAGCAGCATAGGTAGCGGCGTAGCCGGGGGCCGTGCATCGAGCAGCCGCAGCCGCAGCAGCGGTGGCTCTGGACCCGGCGCGGCAGCGGCCGTGCAACAGCCTGGTGCGGCTCCAGACGCGGATGACTTGCCGTCGGCGCGAGGCGGCCGCCGACCCTCGTATTCGTCACCAGAGTACGAAGAGTACAACAGGGCATCGACCCCGTCCGGCGCCGGTTCGCGCCCCGCCTCCGGCGGCGGCAGCGACGGCGCCAACGCGGCGGGGACATTTGCATCGTCGGCTTTGGCGGGGGGCCTAAGTGGCGGCAGCGGCAGCGAACGGCAGCGGCGTCAGAGCAGCGGCGGCATCCCGTCGCCGCCTCGGCCACCTGGCAACACAGCCCAACAGAGAAGCTCCACCACCGGCAGTTCTGCGGCGTCGCAACACTCGAGCGCAGTGCTACGGCAGGCCTCCGAAACCACAGGTGCTGCGCAGTTCAGCGGCGACGGCGGCGCGGGGCCCGGCGGGGCGGCGGATTACAACGAGGGGCAACCGTCATGGCGACCCAGCGTTACCGCCAGCAGTGTGGGCGGGAGCAGCGGCCGCCACGGCAGTGTGTCGTACGCATGGCGCGGCAGCAGCTCCGGTGGTGATGGCGGCGGCGCGGCGGCGCTGGCAATGGCGGCGGCGGCGCCGCGGCCGAGTGGCTCTGTCGAGGACACGGCGGCCCCGCGACTCACTGTCACGAACCGGAACACGTCCTCCTCCTCAGAAACCAGCAGCGTCGCAAGGCGCACGTCTGGGCCCTTTGTCGTACAAGGCATTGACAACGGCAGCGGCGGTGGCGGCGGGAGCAGCGGTGGCCTGGCGGCGACCCTGGTTCCCGCGTCGCCGTCACCGCAGCTTCCGCCTCTTGGAGGTCATCCTGACGCCGCTTCCGGCATGACATACGGCACCGCCATGTCGTCGTACAGCTTTCCAGGAGAGGCTCGCCGTCAGGCGTCCCAAAGCTCCGCCGCCGTAGGATGTCAGCCGAACCCGCTGCCGCCGCTGCCGCCGACGACACCGCCGGGCGGCATCCTCACGCTTGGCGACCGCCCCAAGGCGCGGGCTGTCGTATCCGCACCCGCGGGTGACGTCAGGTCGGCAGCCAACGGCGGCGGTGGTGCCGCGGCGGCGGCGACGCGCAGCGGCCGGCCGCCGCCGCCCATACACATGATGCCGACGCACGTTCAGCCCAAAGGCCCGTTCGACGAGTGTACGACACAGGCTGCCTTGCAGCATGTACGGACAGTTTGGTCAACGTCAAACATTTGCGGCATCCGGTCGCTTCCCAACGCGCTGAGTCCGGATTTCCGGTAGGTCCGTCCCCGTCCCCGTCCCCGTCGC